TTAGAATGTGCGAGAAACATGTCTAACCTATTCTGACAGTGAAACTTAGAATGTGCGAGAAACATGTTTAACCTATTCTGACAGTGAATCTTAGAATGTGAATGACAAATTAACCTGACATGCGTGCTGGGGTACAGTTTGTTGGGGGAGAAAATTTGACCAACCGCCCCTTAATTTTTGGGGTCCTAAAATACACATCATGCATTCATCGGCAAATACTTATCCGCCAAATTAGCGCATGATGTGTTCATGTTTTTAATTTATCATTGGGCAGTGAAAACAGAAGAATGGACAATTTTGAATAGTCTTTCTAGTTCTCTATGTTCAATAACACATGTCTGGCGTTAAGATTTATTTGGAAATATAGTTAAAAGCAAAAAATAGAGTTTGGTTGTGAACTTTACTCGTTACTAAATGTCTGTTCGATAACAATATGGCCGCAGAGCAGTCGTCTTCATTCACGAAAAGATATTTTAAGGCTTTAGAAGCCACCAGTTTAAATAACACAAAGTGTTGATCAGATGTATCGGGCATCAGACAAAGAATATCGCAAAGTAGACTTGTTTCAGTCATTTATAGAATCAAAATTTTATGAGGGATAGCTCTAATATGTACCTCATGCAAGACATACAATGATAACAAAGTCGATAGGCACACAAAAAATATTAGCGAAAAAAGGCAATTTTCTTCTGTGTGAATTATTTCTAGTGCTATTCTCCTTATTATTTAGGAATACAGCAACAAAATTATGGGGAATTTAAATGTTTTATAAAGTTTGTTTTGTGTGAAGATACTAATTGTTTTGGAAAGTCATTTTTCCATACCGAATATTAGTGCTCTGTGATGATATTCAAAAAGTTTTGATGGAACAAGATCTAATGTACAGATTGTTTTTATATTTTATTCATACATTATTAAGTGGTTCCAGTTTATTTGTGGTTCATTTTGTTTGCTGTACTTTTACATATACTAGATATACTAACAAAATTATTTGTTGTGGAAGTATTCTAATATTATTCCTCAACAATCCCTGGCCACTGTGATATATGTGTTTGTTGCATGGCAGCTGAATTTGTATGGTCTGTTTTAATGTGTTACATCTGTGCAATTTCAAAATTGCATTACCACTGGTTGAGGCCTCTGAGGATAAACCTCCTGGGACTCAAAGAGTTAATCAGCATGTTGTAAAAGGTGATTAATCAAGGATTTGCTGAAATCAGATGTCTTGGGCTGAAAAGCGCAGATATGCACCCTAGTTGTAAACAGCAACACAATGTACTAACTGCCCTTTTAAAGGCAAGCACAGAAAAAAAAAAATGACAAATTTGGAAAACTTTGAAGCAGCGCAGACATATTTGCTAAGACATCTGTTGCAGATATTTTGCACAGCCTGAGTAAATAACAATGATTCTCTGGAAAAAAGCTACTGAAAATAAAACATATGCATAAGACGGTATACTTTGGTCATGTGATGAGAAGAAAGGCATAGGAAAACATTGTGTCACCTGGAAACATCAGCGGTAGCAAAGGCAGTTCAAAATAAAATTAGCTGAACAGACCAAAAGGACGGCTTAGAGAAAAATCAATTCAAAAAATCTGGGATATCAAAGACTGAGATCTGTGGAGACGGGAATGCCAAAACTGTCTGGCAAGGCATATGATGATGATGATGATGATGATGACACTGCGATGAAACAAGGGCATTTTGTCCATGCGTGTAAAGGGCAGCAGTCTCAGAACTGATATACTTATTGTGCACACTAGTGATGTAACTTTCGGCTCTGTGGCCAAGTCGATGCGAACGCTTCGTAATGCCGGGATGCCGGGTTTGATCCCAGCTGAGGCCATGCGTCTTGCGTTGGTTTCGACAGTGGTATCAAGAAAGCCGACCACCCAGAAAGCAATGGCAAACTACTGGACGTAAATTTGCCTAGAAAAACCACACAACAGCCAGGGGCTGTTGGGGTTAGTTCTGCAACATTCTGTAAAGGACACACAACAAACCTAGTGACGTAACTGTGACCCGCACAGTAACCTATGCCATTACACTTGCTTCTGACACAAAGTACATATAACACACAACATTCATGGTACATACAAGAAAAAATATAAAGTGTTACTTTACATTATATGTGACATAAAAATCCAGTACACGGTTACAAATGTAATGTCTTATTTCAAACCTGGGTCAATGTGACATTCACAATCCCTTTGACAAATTTAGTAATAAAGAAAAGATAATATAGAGGTACACAGAGAATGAATGAAAAATATAAAATGCAAAAAAGGAAGCTTGGTTCTGTATACAAATGGTGTAAACAAAGACACATATAACAGATAAATCTGGTAAGTGTTTAAACAAAAACTATAAATGTAATTATCTTGTAGATCATATCTCTGTGGGATCATTTTATTTCATTTCTAAAGTTAAGTATTCTTCAAAATACTAAGAAAAGAACAACAATCAGGAAAAAAAGGTGTACTATGCCCTTCAACATCTGCTTAAATCTAATGATCTGTCTTATAACACCAAGACTACAATATATAAGCCAATGATAAGACCAAGTGTCCTATGAAACCTGGAGTAAAACTAAAAGACATGAAGACTTAATATAATATAAAGTTTCAAGAACAGAGTCTTAACAACAAATCTTTGGACCCATTAAAGATGCGAACCGAGGAGAATGCAGAGTAAAAAGCAACAATGAAATTCATAATCTACTGAAAGTACCACTAATTAATAGCATCATTGGGGCTAATAGACTGCGACGGTTGCGTCCATGTTTAAAAAAAAAAAAAAAAAACCACTTTCATTAAATCTTTTGCTTGTTATGTGTAAGTTTTTCCTTTGCAGAGCTTCCGATTTATATTTTTCGATTTATTCAATCATTCTTTGTATCAGCTCAACAGAAGTCATCTCCATCCCCACTTTCGATACCACAACTGTATCCACAATTATGACTCACCTCTACACCATGATGATGATTTTGGCAACAATTTTTGCTTTGATGATCACAAAATGACATTTTGTCATTTAATTTTCAATGGAGAATTGGGCCGAATTGCATGCTTATATCCAGCCTTGCACCAGTTATGAGATGATACAACAATCTAATCATGTATTTAACTATGTGATGCAGTAGCAACACACTTTTATAAGATACAACCATTTAAAAAATGTAATCAGTACAATCCAATCATAGAACAATACGTTTTCTTGGCACTCACCAGCAGCAAACTCAGGTATAAAATAAATATCTGGTTGTTTGTCACTTCTGGACTCGAGTCTTGCTCCAGAGACTTGAGCTTTGCATGCATATCCATTTTATAGATGTTGGTTGCTGGTCTCTCAGGCAGACGCACTCTGATCTCAAAGGAAACACCCCTAATTATGGGCTTTCATAGTCAATGCATCTTCAATGTCCTGTAACCATCTTTGTGTAGGTCTGCCTCTGCCTCTCTTTCAGGAAATCATGAAAATAAAGTTTGTTTGCTCAAAACTGTAACACCCCCCCCCCCTCCTTTCACTGTTTTCCAGGCCACCATGGCCTTCAACATGGTCAAAATGCCTCAGCTTTCACTACAGGATGATGTTTATGAGCCTGTGTGGTAATGTTACAATCTAACCATACAAAATCAAATCTGTAATGACAGAGAAAACTAACGAAACAAATGATACAACAGTCTAATTATATAATGTTAGAGCAGCCTAACTATCCAATGATGTGACAATCTGACAACATATTCAATCAAGTAGTGTGCACATGTGGACTCGCACCTGAGACAACAGATCATGTCCTCCAAGACTGTCTCAAATACAACATATCAATGCAAAACTTTTGATCAAGAGAAACACCGGTGCAAGTCAAACTTTACGGGTCGCTGAGTGAATTACAAAAGACAGTGAAGTTCATACTAGAGACAACATTGCAGATATAGATAATCTATTTCAAACCAACGAAAGAAGAAGAAGAAGAATCAATTAGTAAAGCATTTTTATGTAATGATAACAATATAATTATAATACAGTCAACTATGTAATGAACAATATGATAATCAACTATGTAAGGTATATGACAACCAATCTTTCAAAGAATGTTAAGACAAGCAGCCAAATAATCATCATCATCATGTAGCAAGTACTTTGTAGAATGTCCCTCTCATCATGGTCTGCCTGAAACCAACTTGGTCTCTCGCCAGTTCTCTCATCTTATGCATTTTATATCCTGTGCTGACCCTTGTGTTGGTTAGCCGCTGGCAGTCTTTTCTGACACCATGCCTTATTTCTTTTTTTCCCAATTTGTGCCACTTCATATGGCTAAAATATTTTAGCTTCTGAGACAAGATGCTGTTTATTAGCCAATCTTTCTAGATGTCAGATCTATTATGATGTATTTCTTTTCTTCTCTGTCCATATTATTCTGAGAATCTTTCTACAGTATTTCACAGCAGAAGCTCCTATTTTCTTCCTTAATTAGTAAAATGACATTAAGGTGTGTTTTAGTAAGTCTCCGTATAAGATTTTTAAAAATCCATCATATAAAAAAATGATTTATTGCCGCCAAAAAGGAACCACACATTTACATTTAATCTCAACATAGTCACCATTGACTTCAACACTTTTTTTATATCGTCGCACCAGGTTCTCAATTCCAATGTCATAGAAGTCTGCCCCCAGTGTCTTGAACCAATCATTCACACTTGTCTGCAGTTCATCATCAGTTTCAAATTGCTGGGATGCCAGCCACTGTTTAGGTGCATGAAAAAGTGGTAATTACTTGACACCAGATCTGGTCTGTAGGGCGGGTGGTCAACAACACCTTGGGTAGGAAAGCTAGCAAGAGAGACAGTTTCTTTCGGGCAGACTGTGATGGCAGCGACATTCTGCAAAGGACATGCTACATGATGATGACATGACCACCCTATCCTACATTATATCCAAAGTGGTAATTATAACCTGTAATGGACAAACTTTGTTTGTTCCCTCTCCTACCTTACATTTAGGAAGAAGGGACATAAGTCTGCATACTGCGAAGGCTGGCAATTGACTCCTTATCGTTGTCAGGTAGAAAGGTTCTCTCAGTGTCCTCCATGGGGTCAAATACTTCTGGAGTTTGAGTGCTGGATCCATGCTGTTCCATCTTGGAAGGACTCCCCAGCTGCTGGTGCAGACGTCCAAGTAAGTCGGATATGATGTTGGCCACGGCTTCTCCTACTTTTTCAACTGGGGTGGTTCTGTCATTGAGACACTTCCAGTCACTCTCAGACACTCCTGGTGGTAGCTGTATATATGTACATATAAGTAAATTAACATGTTAGCTGTAAACATATGTATGTGTTTATATCTGTGTGTGTACAAACATGATAATAAGGTAACTACACATATGCATGTTATTACATATATCTATATATAAACATAAGATCTGAATAATCAATAAAGATTGGCTAATAAACAGCACCTTGTCTCGAAAGCTGAAATATTTTGGTCAAATCAAGCGCTATGACGAACTGGAACAAATAATAGAAGAAGGCATGGTACCAGGAGGGAGGGGCAGAGGCCGACCAATACGAAGATGGGCACAGGATATAAGTGACTCCTTGAGTATGGAAGTAAATGAGTAAAGGACCTGCTTCATGATTATGACGATGATATATAGTCACCATGGTAACTGCGTGTGTGTGTGCGTGTATATGCGTGCGTGTGCATGCTTGCGTGGTGTGAGTCTCTTTCACTCTCAGCAAACTAACATGGTAACAATAGTGGCACCTGGAGCCGCAAACTTAATTCGTTCTTTTTTTTTTGTTCACAAAATAAAATGTTGGCAAACTAAAACAATTTTCCCATTAGAATTAAAGCAAATCCAATTAATCTACTTGCCCACCCACCCCAAAATCTTTTTTTAAACTTTTAAAAATTTGATTGCACTTAAAAGCTTGCCAATTTTTAGTGGTAAACTAAAATAGGCAGTCACCACTTGCATTTGGTCACAATAAAAGTATAAGCATTTCCTTCACTGGTTTGTGGCCAAGAAGTTACTTTTTCCTTTTCCTTTTGGGTTATGATATCCTCTTGGCCCCCCCCCCCCTCCCTAAAGTCATGTTTCATCGCAATAAAAAATTGGATGAGGTGCATAATCTTGAGAGTTGATAAAGTTTTCAAATTTCTCCACACAGGCATCTGCTGCTTTTATTTTGTCACAAATAGCAGCCTCTCCACGCTTAACTACATTATGAATTCCAGTTTGTCAACAACATTTCTTAAACCAGCTTCTACTTGATTTAAATTTGTCAACGCTAGCATCACTTGTTTTCTGCGTTTTGCCCCTAAATCACTGTCAAAAAGCAAAGTTTTCTCGCAGATTAAGGCACCACTGTCACAACCTCCAGCAAGCTGCTTTTCATGAATCCAAACTAACAATAATTGTTCGTCTTGACTGACTGACTTTCTACCCCACCAGGACATCACACAAGCGATAAACACCAGATGACACAAAAAAAAAGCTCCAGAAGTCACACAAGCGATAAAATTCCCAGATGACACAATGTGCCACCATTGTGGATGAGGATCACTGTGGAGAGGTCACAGAAACAAGTATACGCGTTCAAAGGTCAAAATATTGTCCATTAGGCTATATTTATGGCCATTGGCTATCACTGTGGAGAAAGGAGCAACACAAGAACAACCACCTACAGGTCCCAGAAACCGCGTTCAGGCCAGGGTGGGGCTTAGGCAGCATTAATCTAACAAGAAGGGACCGGGCTATATTGCGCCCCCCCCCAGGCAAGAGCCAGAAAACTGTTGAACACCATGGGGCTTCAAATAAAGAAAAATTGCATCATAAAAGACAGTATATATCATAGATTTAGCCATGTTGCACTGCTTGGCAAGATGAGAACTAACATGTTAATTATATATGTGAGTGAATACAGCAAAATAACATGGTAATTATATATATGTGTGCATCCAGAAAACTAACGTAGTAACTATATATATATATGTGTGTGTGTGTGTGTGTGTGTGTGTGTATTTGTGTCTTCATGTGATTGTGTCCCATAAGCGCTTCATCCTCATCTTCAGCACCAAGTGCAGAATTTTAAGGCATTAAATTATATAAATTAAATAATTACATTACATAAATAAGGCAAGCAAGTTAATAGAATAAATAAGACAGGCAAGAAAATAAGAGCTTCTTCATTAAAATTGGAACTTACCTGAAAGATCTTGTCTGTGACAGTGTGTTCACCTGTTTCATAGGCAGAGTACACTGGCACAACCACGTGGTCACTCCAAACAAATTCTTCTACTTCATGGGAAGCATCTTGACCACCTGGGACAAAATAACCAATCCTTCACTGATAAAGTGTGGTCTACATAAATAGAATATAATGTACTTGGCTGGGATCTGGAGTTTAAAAATGTATCTTGTTCATATTTGTATCGTGATAGTGTCACATTACAGAATCAACACACCTACCTCAATAGGCAGGCCCACAGTCTGGACACCCCCAAAATCGTCATTGTAACTATGATATCGGATGGTCCGACCGTAGTTATATAATTCGTTTGTTGTGGGGGAGTCCAGCTGGGAGAAATCTATATAAATCACTCTTAGATTGTTTCTTTTAGGCGTTTAGTGTCAATTTACATGTTAGGACACATTTTCTACGCCCGTTTAAGATTATTTGTGTGACCACTTCACAGTGTACTTGAGCCATATTCTCACACCAACTGCCGTAGATAGGGACTATAATTTTGTACGTCACTTCTTTGTAGTCCGTTCAAGTGAGCGAACGTGTTGCATTTTTGTAGCCACTTGACCGTTAAAAAAGACAAGCTTCTTTATTCTCTTTATCTATTTGTCATGGGTGAGTTTTCCTAAAAGGATTTAATTGAATATTTGTGCTCAGTGCCTGTATGTGTGTGTAAGAAAGGTCAGCAGATTGAGAATGCGAATCTGTTTGTCTACGATCGCCTGCGATGAAAGACGACAGATAGTGATCCTGGTTGGAATGCACTTTCGGCTGAAATTTCTCTGTGAATTCTTCGAGCCGGCTTTCTAAACCTCTTCGGATCAATCAATCCACATATCTGGAGTGTATTTATGGTATTGTTAACTTTGTATGATCAGTTGTTATCTTTTATTCGGTCTCTGAACTTGTTGAGTCGCTGGACCGTTGGAAAGGACAAGAAGCTTCGGGTCAGGCATGACGTCATATCCGCTGTTGCTAGGAGCTACTGTAACCACAACAAGCTTAGGCTCTAGGAATGCTTTCGGAGCATATTTCCTTCTATCTTGGTTTTGCCTTCATCTCCTATACCTTATCTTTCCAACTAGTGAAAAGGGTATATTTAGAGGGATGGGGAATGATAGAGATCTGTCTGGCTTTCGCTACAGGACTGAATTCAGAAACTATTCGAGTTAATAGAAACATACATATGACTCTAGTGCTCACTCTGGGAAACTGCAGGGGTTCCAAGATATATGAAGTCAACCTTCATGGTTTGGACTGACCTCATTACGTCTGAGCATGTGGAGAGCGTGAGGAGAGTGATTAACGGGGTACATTGGGTACGGTTTGCTCATGTGTGTTGCCTTGTTAATTTCAGGATTTTGGAAGATCCAACAAGCATCCGTGGCGTAGTCGTGCTCTTCCACAAACCAACACCAGGGAAGCAACCGACGTGCGTTGATCAGCCTATACCGAATATGTTTGACTGTATGTGAAGTCTACATCCACCAGTCTCTGGGGAATTGATTGTCCTTTAATCAATCCCAGAAGTATTATCAATCGTGCAGAGACATTCTGAGAAGTGAGACGTTGCAGAATTCCACCTTCCGGCATCCTGAGGAGCTGCAGGATCCGACCAGATAAGTCAAAGTAGCACTACATTAGCGGCTTGATTCCAGATGTGCCTTCATAATCTGTCTCAGACCTCCATGCGATGATGATGCCGGAAATGGATGTAGCCCTGTAGAAAGACTTTTTCTCTATCCTTTATTCTTCAAAGACTTGAACAATCATTCTAGTTCTTCGTGCTACTTTTAATCTTTCTAGTTATGAAGTATTAAATACATTGAAGCTTTAGTTCATAAGACTTTCTGTTCTTCGAAAGGTTTGGTGTTAGTGAATCAATTGTCGTAGTCAGAAAGGTATTCATGTCTTGTCATATTCACTGTTGTCTATATATTTGACTGTGTTTACGTTGTTTACCAGTCTGGTGGCAAATTTAATAATGGGGATGTCTGGCCAAGAGGTACCCAAGAGTTCATAGTAACCCTGTGGAGTCAGAGCTCGAGTCACCTCATTCCCGAGACAGGTTGAATGGAAAGTTTGATCCGAGGGTTAGGCCTCTAGACGAATGAGAGCCACCATTCAAAACACCCCTGTCTCAGAGCACCTGAGGGATTTGCGAAAATAATCCGTAAGTAAAGGTGTGCGACAAAACTGCCATACGACAGATAGTTACTGAGTAAAATAGTAGTAAAAGATTTTCCTGGAGGTAAATAGCATGATACTGACTATAATCATCAAGCACAATTTAGGTCGAAAAAAATAAATTTAAAGGATCTATCATAAATATTCTCTGATGGCAGGGAAGTTTTTATTTAATTTATTATTTGTTTTGTAGTAATAGACCTCACAAGATACAATGAAATAGACCAGGCAGTAAATTGTGCAAAGTACTGTTTGTATTTCTCAATTGTTTCCGGGGCTTCATTTTTGCCACCCTAACCAGCAGGTTGTAAAACACGACTAATTAGTAGGGATGTTTCCTTTGAAGTCGGAGTGCATCTGCCTGAGAGGGGAGGACAAAACAGTCTGTTTACGAGTAAGCCAGATCTGTGAAATGGTTGTGCATGCAAAACTCAGGCTCTGGAAAAAGACTAAAACAAGAAGTTGACAAACAACCAGAACTTTCCGGGCAAATTGTTCAGCCAGTGAATGCTAAGAAGATCACTGTGTTGGTATTATTTAAATACACAACAGGAAAATATAGTTCAGAACTCCTTTCTCTTTGTGTTTTTTTTTTACTACTGGAATTAGGAGAAGTGACACAAAAAGAACACACTAATAAATATTAGAACATCAGAAAAACTAGGAGTGACAAAAAAAGAAGACACAAATAAATATTAGAGGAAAAAAAAAAACAGGAGTGACACAAAGAGATCAAATGCATAAATGTTAGAATGGCAAAAAAACAAGAGAAGACGCTCAAAGACCAAGAGGAAGATGCTTAGATTAAGGATGGGAAATGATTACACTGCAACCTACCTTCAATCAGCAAATAAATCTGGAAGCAGCGTCCTACAATGGTTTCTTTTTCCCACAAATTCTGTCCACAAAATAAAGTCTGGCCAAAATCTTTGAGAGCAAAGGTTCCATCAGAACTCTGGTTGTACCGTTCACTCGTATCCTGTGTTTACAGAAGATGATTTAAAAAACAACTTTATGATACATTATTACATTTTTCCCATCCTAGATGGATGCTTCTTTAACTCATTACAGCTAAGAGGTTAATTCTTCTGCCTTCTAACCCCCAATGGAGCATAGGCTCTAAACTAACTCAGGCCAAGTCTTTCTCTTCTTCGCTTTCACATGCATCTCTCCACATGTCCTCCCCGTCTTTTTAACTTCACTTTCTGGCTTCCTTCTCCCTGCATTTTTTGGTCTTCCTTTATTCCTAAGCCCCTGTGGGTTTCCAGTGCAAAGACATTCTAGTCATATTTTTCTCAGGTTTTCTCAACATGTGCCCTATCCAAAGCCAGGCTTAGTTGTTCTCCATGTTCCGCTCCACTCAACAGTACTGATTGGACATTAGAACAACACAATTTTAAGTTTAGTATTAATTTTAATGTCTCTTAACCTTCTTTAAATTCTCTTAACACATTACCTAGTGCTATTAAGGCTCCTCCTGCCTTTTGATTTATATTTTAATATCTCTATCAGCTTGTGTCGGCTCTGTGGCTAAGTCGATGCAAACGCTTCGTAATGCTGGGATGCCGGGTTCAATCCCAGCTGCGGGCCATGGGCCTTGCATTGGTTTCGCCAGTCAAGAAAGCTGACCATCCAGAAAGCCATGGCAAACTATTGGATGGAAATTTGCCTAGAAAAACCACCTGGGGCTGTTGGGGTTGGTTCTGCAACGTCCTGTAAAGGATAGGCAATTAACCTATCAGCTTGTAGGATAGAGTTAAAGGTCACAAACACAGTGTAGGCCAGAAAACAGATTATAAAATGTCTGAAAAATTTGCTGTGATATGTAACGAGTTGATGAAGCCAGGGCTAGGTGAAGATTGGGCATTCATGTATGTGTTGACAGGTTAGAAAGGTAAACATCTGGGGCTACTGGAAGAAATTGGATTTTCAGCCACCGGGGAAAACATGTGTCACTCTAAGTTTGTGACGAACTTGTGGACATCATGTATATTGTGGGATCCGTGTGGGTTGTGAACCCTGAGTGTTGGTGAGAATGTAAGATCCACGTGTAACTGAAACCCCGTGAGGAAATGTCCTGTGGTAGTTTGAGTGAGTCAGTTGCTTTCAGTTCATCTTACTGTATGGACGTGTTGATCGAGTCCAATGGTTGAATGGACTATGTTTTAACAATGTGTTTTTATTCTGCAATTATTCTAACGGTTTTTGGTAGATCATGAGACAGACTGTCAGTGTGATTTTCTAGAATGGACTTGTGTCGGCCATGTGTATGGAGTCGACACAGTTGCGGCTAAACTACATTAATGTACTGTTTGTTATTGTTTACTACTTATTACAAATACACCTCTCAGTTTACGTCCTGATAATAGCAAAAAAGAATGCTTGCTTGCTTAGGTCACTCATGCAGAAATTATAATGTGTGAAGACTACCAGTTACTAGTATTTCGATGCTAGCTGCACATGCATACTTCCAACAGCAAAGCAACGATGAGGAAAATATCATGGAATAGCCTCTCCAGTGTAATCGTTACCAACTAACTCTTGATCACACCTTGTCACTGTAACTAAGATACATTTTATGGTTAAATTCTTCATCTTCAGCATTCCGAGCCCTTGAGGTTCATTGCTGCAGATATCACCCACCTCCATTCATCTCTCTGGTTGGCCTTCTCTTTCCAGTTGGTAACACCAAGTGTTTGCAGGTCTGTCTGGATATTATCTCTCCATCGTCTTCTTGGTCTGCCTCATGGTCTACGACCACTCATCTCCGCCGTGTATACACTTTTTACTTCTATGTTTTTATGGTTACATTGGCGACAATAATTATAAATGATTGCCTTGAAAAGGCTAATAAGATTATATGCAACTAGAAGAGATAAGAAACAAGAACCATGATGATTTCAACACAACATAATCCTTGACCTGTCTGTGACATGGAGGTGTACTGATGGCAGAACTAGCACATGAAACCGGCCATCTTTCTCTGACTTCCACTTATTGAACAAGTGTATAATAATTTAGCACTGTCAATTTCCTGATGCTGTCATTCCAGGTTTTTCTTTGTCCGTTCTTCTTTGACTACCCCCATCTCCCTTTGCAACTCAATCCTGATTATCTTCACCTGTGAATCTTGCTCAGGAAGCACATGCCAAACTATTGACTTCTGGAACTGTCTCTGGGCTTCTTCATGGTAGGTGCGTCCTACAGTCTCACTGGTGCCATAACAGCCCCCTGTGACAACAGTGATTGAGGTCAGCTTTGCAAGATGCCTTCCTATGGACCTGAAATACAAACAAAAACATAAAACAATTCCTTCTGGAGGAAGTGCTTTAACATGTAATGAATGAATGAATCAATCAAGAACTGACATCATTCACTTGGGACATTCCCATACATGCTCCATTCCCTTTCTCAGTAGCCAACAAAGAGTTTCCATACTGATGATGCTTGGTGCAACCTGATACAAAGTTTCCCTGTATTTTCCCCAGTGGGCAAAAATGTTGACGTGTAAGTAACATATCTGTTTCCATACCTTGAGTGAACTGTTAGGGCATGAGCCTGTCTTTCAAGTACAATGTGGAAGAGGTAGTGTTGAAGGTAACAGAAATGACTCAATGCACTGAAGTTGATGGCATCAGCAGGCATAGAACAAAGACTGCTTTAAAAACTATACCAGCAACTGATTATTGTGGTCACAGAGTATGGCTTGGAACTGCTCACATTATCCAACTCCGAAACAGGAAAAATGGAATGCATGCAAAATGAAGAGATGCAGGTCATTCTTGGATATACATGGGACACACAAATCATGTGCATTGGGCAAATACATGCTTCCTTGTCCATATATGAAAGGTACAAGGTATTATAGGCAAAAATGTACTTTGAAGTTGCATCAGACAGGGAACACTTTCTGCATGATGCCCCTTAGGAGATACAAAGGGCACTGACTGAAAAGAGACAGATCTTGGAAGTCAGTATAAGAAATGTTTTTACTATTGACAAAATAGCTCATGATGAAGAAAGGGGCACAGTGTCGCAAAGAAAAAAACAACAACTTGGCACAGACTGATAGTTACCTTGGACTGAGGATGTATGGAATCAACAGCAGGTGAAACAGAGACATCAGTGCAACAGCTGATCGATGAAAACCCAGGACATTGAGACAGTTGCTGCTTCAACTCTCAGACCACTATATACAATGACAAAGTAGCAACAAAGAGAGCTGCTGCTCTACCACTCAGAGCATTATTTATAAAGACGAACCTGCAAACTGCTTCAGATCTGGCGTCATGAAACTTGGTGGCCCCAGATACATAGACACAGTGCTTCACATCCAAGGTTTTCTTCAAATACTGAACCTAGCAAAAACCACACAGACAAACCATTACTCAGCACACTCTGCTATTGGTATAATGTTCGTGTCAATGGTAACATAAAAAAAAAAAAAAAAAAAATTTGTATTTAATACCTTATATATTGATAATTTTAGAAATGATGAATTAAAAGAAACATCGTAGTAAATAAACAACGGTTTCAGACATTAGCAAAGTTAAAAATCATATCTCAAAATCTTTCGCATATAAATTATAGAAAACCCAATTTTATCTAAATCTACCACACACACACAAAAAAGGTAACTCCTGAAAGAACAGCCTACAGTATTTGTTAAATCAAACAAATAAGCAAAAAAACACTTTAAAAACATACTTAAATCTCTATATTACCTATAACATAGATCAATAATACCAATATGGCATCGGCCAGATTTCCTAACAAAAATAATCAGAACAGTCGGATAGGTTTAATTATGTAGATAACAATACTTACATGGGAAATATGGTATTAGTTTGAAGTAAAGTAACCTGAAGGCTGTGACACTATGTCTGTGGCTCAGACACTGCGAATGCGCATTGTAAAGCTGGGGTGATGGGTTTAATGCCAGCTGTAGGTGATCTGGCAGCAGACTGCCTTGCATTGGTTTCCTTAGTGGTATCGAGAACCGATTATTCAGAGGCAATGGCAAACTAATAAATGTAAGTTTGCCTAGAAAAACCACAACAGCCAAAAAAAATATGTGGGGGTTTGGTTCTGCAATGTCCTGTAAAGGGCATGAAACTAACAGGGAAAAGTGATTATAGAAATACACAGGGAGAAGGAAACAATGATTCCTGACTCCTGCTCATAGTATGCTTAGAAAAGATGTGCCTAGAAAACTACGGATAGCTTGCACCCCAAATCTTCACAGCCAGAGTAAAGACTTTGGGTCTTTGGGCCAACACTCCTAAATCCATCCACACTGGTTACTTACTGTAACTATTGGGTGCCCCAGTATCATTTTGTCAAATGGTTAAACAGGGTGTCTAGGATTTGTTTCTGTTGGGTTCTCATGTAAATAGTGACTCCTTGAGTCATTGGGTTTAATCTTTTCGTATGCAATCCTGGAGGGAAAATCTTCTTCTTCTTCACGTTCACCGGCTGTAAACTCCGGTGGAAAGTTTGGTTGTTCATCCACCACTGGACTTTAAAACTTGTTCAAGAACCTGAATGTTGCATGCTCATCTGTTTTACATATCGGACTTATTTGTATGCAGACTGTTGGTACCTTGCCTCGCAGGCAGATGCACTCCGACTTGGATGGGAGCTCCCAATTAGTCGCCTATTACCTGTTGGGGAGGTAGTGGGTATATTCTTGTCTTCCCTAAAACAGGGCCCGGATCCCACACGGGGAAGAGGAGAAATAAATGATGACCAACCCCTGGTTGATTCACCAACCCACAGTAAGAAATCAGTTGTTAGAACAACTTCAGCAACCCTGGAACTTTCTAGTAAATCTTGCAGGAAGTGAAGCCACAAAAGGGAGCTCATCACCAATTACTACAGTGAGGAAAATAGGAAAATACTTACTGCGAGACTGATGTTTGCCTCCAAGCTGTCAGTTTCCAGGCAATTTTTGGCAGTTGGATCCAGAGCTCGTTTGATTTGCATTAATAAGATCTTGTAAAAACACGGATTGGTGGCACACTAGGAGAAAGGAATTACAACATGAAAATACAATGTATGTGCTTCACTGCTTCAAGAAGACCGAGAGGATAACAGAGACAATTTATACCAGATTATCTAATATGATGGGAAGATTAACAACATTATAGAGAAATATAATTTTTAGTGTCAGTATGCACAAAATTTAAAGCAGAAGAATTAATTATCAATCACAATTCCCTATAAATTCCTGTTATTAATTATATATGACTCACTAAAATTGACTCTGCCATCGAAATTTGGTTCACAAAATTTTTTTACATACTGTTGCTGAGTTAACATAATCATACTCCCTGTGTGGATTACGAGGCCCCATTTTGGAGGTAAAAAAAACAATCATGTTGTAAAAGGTGATCCAAAAGGGGTTTCCGACAAAGTCAAAGTGCATCTGCCGGAGAGGTGAGGAGACAGTCTGCATACAAAGAAGCCAGATTTGTAAAATAGAAGTGCTCACAACATTCAAGTCCTGAAACAAGATCAAAGTCCAGAAGTGGATGAACACTCTGAACTTTCCACCGGAGTTTACAGCCAGTGAATGCTTAGAAGAGGAGAGAATATAATCACTGTACAAACATTAACATGACTATGAGTGATCTGATGAATACTATCCAAATGACACATTTATATTTAAAAAAAGTGTTTGTGAATATTGTAACAACAATAACTGTTAGTCTTACCAAGAGTTTTTTGGCCCTGATCAGCATTTTGAGCCAGCAAGGAACTCGGAATTCTTCATAAGCAACAGGCAGAATCTGCTTTCTGTGCTCACAGTAATAGATCTGAAAACAAGCAGACGACAACAAGAGCTATTTGCAACATAAAATGGTGAGCATGAAAAAAAGCAATCAAGAGAACAAGAATTTACCTTACTTATTTAGTCGACCACTTCTACCACAAGGTGTAGAGAGTGCCCGACAGACAGATATCCAGACTTCTCTATCAGCAGTTTTCTATTTGGCTTTGTCAATGCTGACCCGTCTGGTTTTTCTCTCTGTAATGGTAGTTTATGGCAAACAGGTGATTGGCCTGTTGTGCTTTTGCATGGTGGTGGGTTCCTCCTTGTAGCCTTCATACAGCTTTCTGGCTGATTCATGGTTCTGCTCACTACTCCCAGAGACGCATGAAGCTCTTACAAAGAATTTAACAGTTGATTAAATATATAAGACTGATTTCACTGTACTCTGCCATTTTATCCCATAAGGCTCTTTGTGCAGAGTGGGTGTCGTATAACAGGATACACACACCTACCGCATTGGGCAGGTCCACAGTCTGAACACCCCCAAAATCGTCATTGTAACTATGATATCGGATAGGCCGACCGTAGTTATATAGTTCGTTTGTTATGGGGGAGTCCAGATAGGAGAAATCGTTATAAATCACTCTTAGATTGATTATTTTAGGCTTTTAGTGTCAATTTACACGTTAGGACACCTTTTCTACGCCTATTTAAAAAAAATTGTCTGGCCGCTTCACAGTACACTTGAGCCGTATTCTTACACCAACTGCTGTAGATAGGGACTGTATTTTTATGCGTCACTTCTCTACGGTCCGTTCAAGTGAGCAAACGTATTCCATTGTTGTTGCCACTTGACCGTTAAAAAGACAAGATTCTTTATTCTCTTTATCCATTTATCATGGGATTTTTGAAGATCCAGCATGTCTGTGGTCATACTGTACCCACCAACAAGTGTCCGAGGCATAATAGTACTCATCACCATCCATGTCTGTGGTGCTGTCATACTGTTCCACCCGCCATCTTGACGTGAGTTATTCATCTATTACTGAAGATGAAGACTGCGTGCTAAGTCTACGTGTCTCTGGGCATATGATTGTCCTATAATCGATTCCAGAGACATTATCGATTGGGTGGAGGTCTTCTGAGGAGCGAGTCGTTGCAGATTTACACCTTCTGGCATCTGGAGGAGCTGCTGGATCCAACGAGATAAGTTTAAGTAACACTATATATAGCAGCTAGATTCCAGATGTGCCTTCATAATCTGTCTCCTGCCTCCCTGCCATGATGATCCCAGAAAGAGACGTAGATTTATAGCAAGACTTTTTCTCCATCTGTGTTCTTTAGAGAATTCAACAATCATTCTAGTTCTTCGTGCTACTTTTGATCTTTCGTGTTATGAGGTAATTAATACATTGAAATTATAGTTCACAAGGTTGCTGTTGGTGAATTAATGGTCATGGTCAGAAAGGTATTCACGTCTTGTCATATTCACTGTTGTTTACTTGTTTGACTGTGTTACATTGTTTACCAGTCTGGGGGCAAATTAGTAATGAGGACGTCTGGCCGAGAGGTACCCAAGTGTTCGTAGTAACCCTGTGGAGTCAGAGCTCGAGTCACCTCATTCCTGAGACAGGTTGAATGGAAAGTTTGAACCGAGGGTTAGGCCTCTAGACGAATGAGAGCCACCATTCAAAACACCCCTGTCTCAGAGCACCTGAGGGATTTGGGAAAATATTCCGTAAGTAAAGGTGCGCGACAAAACTGCCATACGACAGTGGGGCACACCAGACATGAATGTCCCAGCTCCAATGACGATTCACAGTTTTGTCAGGAAAAAAAATCATCATCATCATCGATTTCCACTTCTGCCGTTTAGTGTTTTGGGGAGGAACAGTTTGTGGAATATTGCTTGACGGGCAGCAATGGCTAATATCATTCTGTGTCAATGTAGAATCTCTTTAATGTCATCAATCCATGTTCTCTTAGGGCAGCCTCTTGCTATCACTTCAGATGCTTTCATGTATAGTGCCTGCATTGGTATTTGTTCTGGCTGCATTCTTACTAAATGACCAAACCACTTGATCTTCTGTTCCTCAAAGAATTTGCTGCATGGTGTTGTTCCTACAGTCTGTCTGATAATATCATTTCTAACTATGGCTAAAAGGCATATCATTTCACAGGTGTTAATTTTACATAGGTTGGCTTCTGACAATGTCCAAGTCTGGCACTGATAACACAGTGTTGGTATAAAAAAACATGGGGCTCATATAGTGAATAACTAAAAAAGCTAGGAAAACCATAAGTGCATGTTAGCACTATGAACAATATCAAAAAAAATCTTTGTGGCGATTAGCTGTCATCAGCAGAACAAAGAAGAGAAAAAAAAAACACAACATAAAAATGAATTAATTCTGAAATTACTACATTATGGTTTTAAAATATTGTAGCATTTTTTTTTTAATTTAAAAAATTGATAGAATGATAAAAAAGTATGTGATACCTACCTTGACTGCTGCAAATTTTATAAAGTTTAATAAGCATAAGGACAACACCAGATATCACCCCAGCTAGGAATCCAGCAAGAAGAATCACTGACTATACCAGACATCACCCCAGCTAGGAATCCAGCAAGAAGAATGACTATACCAGATATCATCCCCAGCAAGAATACCAGAATCACCCCACTGACTATACTATACCAGACATCACCCCAGCTAGGAATCCAGCAAAGAAGAATCACTCCCAGCTAGCTAGGAATCCAGCAAGAAGAATCACTGACTATACCAGACATCACCCCAGCTAGGAATCCAGCAAGAAGAATCACTGACTATACCAGACATCACTGACTAGGAATCCACCAAAACTATATCACTGACTCCACTATACTAGACATCCCAGCTAGGAATCCAGCAAGAAGAATCACTGACTATACCAGACATCACCCCAGCTGGGAAACCAGCAAGAAGAATCACTGACTATACCAGACATCACCCCAGCTAGGACCAGACATCACCCCAGCTAGGAATCCAGCAAGAATCACTGACTATACCAGACATCACTGAAGAATCACTGACTATACCAGACATCACCCCAGCTAGGAATCCAGCAAGAAGAATCACTGACTATACCAGACATCACCCAGCTAGGAATCCAGCAAGAAGAATCACTGACTATACCAGACATCACCCCAGCTAGGAATACCAGACATCACCCCAGCAGAAGAAAGAAGAATAACTGACTATACCAGACTCCCCAGCTAGAATCACTGGATACCAGACATCAGACATCACCCCAGCTAGGAATCCAGCAAGAAGAATCACTGACTATACCAGACATCACCCCAGCTAGGAATCCAGCAAGAAGAATCACTGACTATACCAGACATCACCCCAGCTAGGAATCCAGCAAGAAGAATCACTGACTATACCAGACATGACCCCAGCTAGGAATCCAGCAAGAAGAATCACTGACTATACCAGACATCACCCCAGCTAGGAACTCCAGCAAGAAGAATCACTGACTATACCAGACATCACCCCAGCTAGGAATCCAGCAAGAAGAATCACTGACTATACCAGACATCACCCCAGCTAGGAATCCGAAGACCTACCCCAGACATCAGGAATCCAGCAAGAAGAATCACTAATCCACTATGACTATACCAGACATCACCCCAGCTAGGAATCCAGCAAGAAGAATCAATCACTACTATACCCAGACATCACCCGAGCTAGGAACACAGCAAGACAGACCCCAGCTAGGAACCCAGCAAGAAGAATCACTGACTATACCAGACATCACCCGAGCTAGGAACTCAGCAAGAAGAAAAATTGACTACACCAGACAACACCCGAGCTAGGAACCCAGCAAGAAGAAAAACTGACTATACCAGACATCCGTCTTATTCCAATAATTGTCAGTGGTCATTTTCCATAGGTATCAGTCTCATATTGCTTCTATGAGTGAGGTTTTAATCCACTGCCTGCTTGCTGGGCGTGTCACAGATTAAGGGATTACTGAACCAGATTATTCCATCCCATCTGGAGAGCCAAAGTCCATTTAGCCTGAGACTTCACAGCTTTAGTTTTCTGGTGTACACTGTTCGGATATGTAATTGAAGCAGATCCTGAACACTGTATGGTTAGCCCATCTGTGAATCCCACCCAACATGTAATATGTTCTAGTACTGTTCACAGCTGGTGACAGCATACTAAGAAATCTGCCCATGGAATCCATGGTATTCTGAGAATCTTTCTGCGGCATTTCAGCTGAAAAGGACTGTTTTTTTTTAATACCTTGGGCACCCCTGGTAAAACCTTTTGGTACTCAAAGAGTTAAAGACAAACATTTAACCATTCAATCACCTGCTCATGCCATTTATATAATTCAGAGACCTAGACTTTGAAAAAAAAAAAAAAAAAAACATTTAACAATTAACAAACAGAAGGTACCTCTTGTCTGCATATTTTTGACTGTGTGAATGCCTTTGACAGAACAAAGATAATGACAACAGCCTTGTCTACGGCTTGCTGGAACTCTGCCACCTGCTCCGCTGTGACTGTAAAATAACTGTCTGCTGAACTACGTGAAAGCTGCTCTACTCTCATCAAAGCAGACAGATCTGTTGACAAAATGTCACAAGTTACAGGTTCTATTGTGCTGCTATTGAGTAGAGTGCCAGGTGCGACAGTTGTGGATTTCGTGTGAGACATTTTTTCTTCAGTGCCTGCGACAGTTTTGTGTTGTGTACTGCACTAAATATGGTAAGTGGTAAATCATGCAGTACTGCTTATACAGTACTCATGTACAAATACCAGCTTGTCATAACTGACTTTATGGTGGGGGGAACTGAGTTTTTGCACTACTAGTGGCCGCCTTAAGCATTTACTTTATGTACATGAGCTTCCAGATTTTGCTGGGATTATCTGCTTTTCACAAGAATTTGAATGGGACGGTCAAGGAGATTATATGTGATTTCCAGTGGCACGGGAATGCAGCAATTAAGGAATGACCCGTCTGCTGTGAAATTAGGACTCTGACTGACTGTTTAAGGTAATAACCTGCAGCTTGTTTTGTATATATGCCCCCTAACCCCCCTCCCACCCGCACCCTTTTTTCCAAATTGCAGTGTTTCAAAATTCCTCATCCTAAAGTCAATATCCTGGCATCAGTTGCTGTGTTGTGTAAACCACCTATCACACCTTGAACCCATCATTAATCTGGAATTTCACTTCTCAGCTTCCCCACAATGCTTTTCTCCATGACCATCTTCTCTTCTTCTTCTTATTCACGAGCTGTAAAGTATGAAGGAAAATTCTGGTTATTCATCCATCTGAATGTTGTATACATCCAGTAAGTCATAAAGAACTACAGAAATTGATAGATACGGTGGTGGTAGACAGTGATAAAACGGGCCTCAGTCTGAATAATGGAAAGACAGAAGTAATGGCGATTTCCAAGAATATTGCCAAAATGTGTAATAAAAGTCAAAGGTGTTATTTTAGGACAAGTACAGTAATTTAAGTATCTAGGCACATGGATAACATCCAATGGAAGATGTATCACAGAGATACAGAACAGAATAGGACAGTCCAACTGCATTTTATAAAATGAAGAATATTTCGTGCAATAAATCCATGTCACTACAACAACATGTTGATTCATTGCTCACTAACTGTACAAAATTTGACATGAAAATAAACACCTCAAAAACTGAAGTAATGACCATAGGAAAGAAACACAGTAATGTAAACACAAAGATCAATGACATACAATTAGAACAAGTTCAAGAATTCAAGTACTTAGGGTGCATTTTTACAGAAGATGGAAGACTTGATAAAGAGATACAGGCTAGAGTTCAAAAAGCCAATGCAGTCAACTACCAACTGGCCCCACTTCTTCGTCATCCAAAGATCTCGTTACCACCCAAACAACGGATGATCAACAGCATTTTCATCCCTACGTTATGTTATCAGTGCCAAACGTGGACAATGAACAAATCACATATGCAAAAAATAACTACGTGTGAAATGCGATGTCTCTGAAGAGTCACCAACAATACACGAAGAAGACAGAGTCACAAACGTCAGCATTAGAGACAAAGTTGGAACAAGAGCATGCATGGAACATATTGAAAGACAGAGAATGAAGTGGTTTGGTCATTTAGTAAGAATGCAACCGGATCAGATTGCCTATAAGGCCTTTTACAATAGAACATCGGAAAGAAAGGCCAGAGGAAGACCCAGGAAAAAATGGATAGATGGAGTAGCTGAATACGGCCAGAAGATCCAGAAAACTGTCACTCAAATCACGCGAGAGGCACAAAACAAATATTTTAAACCATGACACTGGGCTGCAACCCGGTAAAAGTGAAGAAGACAATAGATAGATAGACTGGAGGTTGAGAACAGAATTCTCACATGCTATATAGTGCCAGTTTTAATATACGGCTGTGAATTCTGGACAATTAATAAACAAGCTGAACACTATTTTGAGTCCTCAGAGATATGGTTTTACACAAGAATCCTTAGAATTCATTGGACAGCTAAGAAGAACAACCCAGATGTTTTGAAAGAGGCGAGTGCTCAAATACAACTTATCACAAACAGCAGAAAAAGACATAATTTTGTGGTCATGTTCCGAGAAGAGAGAAAATGGAACATGTGACCACTGGAAAGATTTATGGAAAGAGAGACAGAGGCAGACAGCCTGAGAAGATTCTTGACAGTCTTCTGTCATGGCACGGAGGAGTGTCAACACACAAACTGATACAAGCAGTTGCAGATCGCAGATTGTGGAGAAACATAATAGCTTAAGCCAGTCGGCAAGACACTTGGTGATGATGATATCCAGTATGCCTTAAGCCATAGAAAATGGGCCCTTTGCTGACTTTCTAATAAAACAGTTAAAGAAGAAATTTGACTACTAACCTTCTTGACTCGGTGTGATCTTGTCAGTTTCTGGTAGAGACGGGGAGTGTCCTTTGGTAGCCGACACCCATACAGAATGGCCCACTTCTTCAAGCCAAGCCTTCAGCTTGTAGCCCTGCAGTGTTGAAAAATGTTTAAAACATATCTGTCTGTAGGTAGGGAAATGGAAAAGCAGTTACTAAGTATCTTTAATCTATTACCCTCCCCCTTCCGCACACACTAGAAATACAGACTAGAAGCTAAACATCGAAGATTTATAAATTTATATCTAAGATTTATAACTTCATATCTAAGATTTATGACATCATATCTAAGATTTATACCTTCATTGTTAAGATTTATATTTTCATTGCTAATATTTAAAATCTGACCTATAGCTGCATATCTAAGATTCAATACTTAACATCTCAGATTTAAAGTTTCATAGCTAAGATTTAGAATGTAAACTTCCACCCAGGGGTTCTGGAGCCCCACTGTGGGGGAAACAAGAACAGACCAACTGACTCCCCAACAAGCTTGTTGCGAAAATTGACCTGAATGTTTTCTGTGAAGTCGGAGTGCACGGGCCTGAGAGGTAAGGAACCAACAATCTGCATACCATTAAGTCAGATCTGTAAAAAGGATGTGAATGCAAATTTCAGGTTCTGGAAAAAGAATAAAGTCAAAAGGTGGACGAAGAATGATCACTTTCTGCCAAAGTTGCAGCCTGTGATCACGAATAAGAAGAAGAAGAAAATGTTAACTTAGAGCTTTTAGTTACATATATAAAACAAACTGCTTGTTGCATAAGACTTACATTACCCGTTTCAGACTTACATATTCAACTTCATTAGGATGAACACAGATGACAATCTGTGGACCTGTTGGCTCCTCACTATCCTGGCTGTTCAACACTGGAGCAGCAAAAGCTGGCAGACGTCCAGCAAACGTCTTCATCAGAGTTTTCTACAGATATCAACATCATACATTAAACAATCACGGTACAAGGAAATGTTGCTCGCATCTTTCCGTCTTTCCAGACGATAGTGTTATTCTGTGCTGGGGGAGGCATGAGAATCACAGCCCACAGTGATGGTCAGTCTGACTAGCTAGACCTGCTCATGTTACGAAAGATCTAAACAGTCAGACAAAGGATTTCACAACCATGTTGCCCTGACATGTATTCAGTTATTCTCCTCAGACGTTTACTCTCTAATCATTTTTCCTCTTTTCCTTTTCCTTTATGATTCTCCTTCTCCACACACTACAGTGCTTGGGGTTTTGCTCCAAGGAATCTACCTAAATACCTGTATCCTTCATGTCCTGTGTGCACACATCTTTATATCACGTTGGAGGCCAACCTCAAAATCTTCTACTCATCTATAATTGGCCAGAACATTTTCTTAGGGATTCTTCCATCCCCCACGTGTGAACCTTCGTAGACAGCACTGGCAAAACCATTGTGATACCTGCTCTTTCCAATACCTCAGTGTTGATGATCTTGTCTTGCCACTTAATGCCAAGTATTCTTCTTAGAAATCACATGTGAAAGCTATTTGGCGGTTTCTCCTGTTGGAATAATCTAAGAGTCACTGCCATAAAGAAGAGTGCTGAGAACACAAGCTGACAGACAAGAGCATTTGTTGTCCCACTGTGGGTTCCAGGGCCCCATTGTGAGGCACACACACACACAAAAAAAGCCCCCACTGCCTGCCTAGCAAGCATGTCATAAGACGTGACTAATCAGGGGTTCCCTACAAATTTGTAGTGCATCTGCTTAAGAGGCAATGAACCAATAGTCTACATACAAATAAGCCAGATCTGTAAAACAGATGTGCAAGCAAAACTCAAGTTCTAGAACAAAATCAAAGTCCAGAACTCTCTGCTGCTGTGGATTAAAGATAAGAAAAATGGTCAACTGTCTCCAGCTCTTCACCTTCAATGTAGACTGCATTCCATCATTAGCACCTTGCACTATAATTTTTTGGGGGGTTTTGTATTGTTAACTGTTAATCCAAAGCCACGTCATGAGCAAATGCAGATAGTGAACAATGCAGCTCCTCCTCTGAGAGAGTGGTACCTGCTGCATTATCAGCAAAGAGCAGCTCTTTGATAAGTACATGCTTTTCATTCCTGGTTTTAGCCTTTAGCCTACGAGCACTGCATACTGCCATCAGACTGAGCATGGAGGAATATACCATCCCCCTTGAACTCAAAAGAAAATTACAAGACATGGTAACTACAGACTTTATTGTAAGGGACTGACTTCATGCGATGAGCAAGAAGAAATAACAGATTCATCAAAGACATGTATCATGCCTAAGTGTTTTAAAGTTAAAGTATTACTGAGACTTTTTCAATATGTGGTAGGTCCATTACAATACGTCACTCCCATCAGAGCCACTCCCTCACCAGCTCCTGTCCCTCGAGCACTTTCCTACATAAGGTGTTTTATACACCTCAAGCCATCATCTGCTTGTAGGTCCTCTACCCCTCTTACCTGGTACCAAGCCTTCTGCTTCTGTTCTTTAGAATCCACTGTGATGTTTGACATGACCAAATAAATTTCAGTTAGGCTGCTGATGTGGAATTCTGCATGGCCATCAAAAATGGGTACAAAGCACCAATGGGAAGGTCCCAAACGCTGTGGAGGTTCTTAGCTTATCTAAACTCCACTCTAGAAGATATTTTTCCCAGTGTAAAAAATATGTGACAGCAAAGACTTTTCCCTATCTGCTGACAAATCTTACCATTCTCGTGAGGGCAGGCTTAGAAGTGATGCTAGATTTAAGCGTCTTCAGTCGTCTGCCTATCTCCCTGGCCACCATCTCAATGTACTTGGGATCCCATATGCGGATGTCTTTTGCTTCTTCACCTTTATTTTCTGCAAGTTCTGTGTGAACAAATGTTTGACTATATACTGTATCTATGACAACAATCTAAGAATTAGAAATTCTCCTGTAAAAATTACTAGACCAGCAGTGAATAATTATAAGAAAACCATTTATATAGAACTATACAAATAATTATCAATATTTTTAGTATACTTTTCCAGAGTTGCAATGTGACTAGCAAACTGAATTATTCTGACAAATGTCAGATTTATTTATGTCATATAATCAATCTTTTTTCAGAGAGTTTAAACAAAGAAAAAGTAGAAAACAATAGCAGAAAGTACAAATATATATTTTAGTCTGAATAACCAGCAGAAAGAGGTAACTGTAATACTATAGACAGTGTTCCTACCCGCGTTGGTTCCCATTATAGGGAAAACAAGAATAGACCCACTGCCTTCCCAAAAGCATGTCGTAAGAGTCGACTAATTGGGAACTTCCTTTGAAGTCGGAGTGCATCTGCCTAAGAGGCAAGGAACCAGCAGTCTGCATTCAAATGAGTCAGATCTGTAAAACCGATGCACACGCAACACTCAGGTTCTGGAACAGGAATGCAGTCCAGAAGTGGACAAAGCAACCAGAACTTTCTGCCAGAGTTTACATCTGGTGAACGCGAATTAAGTCTTTTCAAAATCAGCAATTACTTTTTTTAAGCCCCAAAGCACTGCACAGCAGATGTCAAAAATGGACAATGACTACAATAAAAAAAAAATTCATGAGTGTGTTATTTTCAAAACTCACAGGAAAAAAGTGCAAAGTTTGATTTGTATTTGCTGATGTTGTGAAATTCACCAACAGTTCTTCTTAGCGGCAAGGGTTAAAGAACCAGTCTCTTCAGTGCAGTGTGCTAGTGGAACTATCATTTCTACACATGGATATCTTCCGAGAGGCAGCAGTATGTACTCTAAGTAATAATACTCTAAGTGCAAGCAAACAGATTCTAGTTAAACAGAGTCAATCAATAAATTAACTGCTAGGGCATTTTGTACAACTTGTTAAAGGGCTGGCTGCAGTTTATTGAGTCAATACAGTAACTTAAACTGCATACATAAAAGGTTGAATGAGAGTAGACCACGAGACAGGCTAAGAGGGCAGTGGAAGATAATATACAGGCAGAACTACACCAAGCGGAAAGAGAAAGCCAATCACAGAGACAAATGGAAGTGGGTGATATCTGCAGAAATAAACCTCAAGGGTTCTCAGTGCTGAAGAAGAACTAAAGGTCATATGTCCGTGCCATCAGGTGTACTGAGCTTATGGTGCTGGCCACATAATTGTTTAAACAAATTAGGCTCAATATGAGATGAGGTCAATGCCCTGCCAGCAGCTTTGACATCACATTTCCTGGTACTTACATTAGGCTAGATTTTACCTGGGAGCCCAGGAAAAGTTAACTCCTTAAGTCCCAAACAACACATGATGTGTTACTGTCTATTCCCCACAATGCTTCAAATATCACATTAGGTCTTTTTTTATATTTAAGTTTTGGTCAGTGTATATTAAATAAATCTGGCAACCACATAGGTATCTTTCAATCATTGTTCATTCCTATAGCACAGCAAGTGGTTAAGAGCTTTTGTGACATTATCTAATTAAAACCTATTTGTTTTTGCAACACCTTTATGGACCAAAAGAGTAAACTTAATCTGTCACAAGGGTGTTTAAAACTATGATCATAGGATCATTTGGTCAGCAAGTAAGTGACTACAAAGTATACCTTGAGCAATTTGTTCAGGAGTTTTCCACCAGACAAACTGAGTGGTAGCAAACTGGATAGCTAAGCACCGTGGAGGCCATTCTTCCAAGAAACTCACAGGCAGAATTGCCTTTCCAAGCACATCAGCAAGTTTGACCTACCAAGGGAACAAGCCACTGTACTAGTAACAACAGAAACAAATATCTCAGCAAAAATCAGCACCACATAATAGGACTTTTGTCAAATGCTACTCTCATCACCGACAGCTAGAAAGCCTCACAGATTCGAACCCATTCCTCTGCTTTTCATACCCATGCCTTCAGGGCATATAGTTATAGATCTATATTTTATAGACCAAAAAGGTAAAAGTAAAGTCGGGAGATCTGAACCAGCATCACTGCACACGGTTATAAACCATAAGTGCTCTGCCACCAGTACGGACAGCTGATAAGAATTGTCCGCCTGTGTCGCCATCCACACGTAACTCTGTGGCTACAGCGACGTTCCTCCATTTACCCCAGAGTGTCAACTCTGGTGCCCATTTCCTAGAGGCTGGGTGAACCCCCGGGAGCTGCCCGATTTCGAACACCGACCGTAGGCTGCAGAGGGTCGCAGCTGGATTTGAAAGCGAGCCTCTTATTGACTACGCTAAAGCTACCCCTTTATAGACTAATCAGCACTCGGTGAGTGATGTTGTCAACTTCACACTGACTGCTCTAACTTACAAGAACTTTACCTGGTACCCATTTAACCCACTAACTACCATGATCAGACGTTATGCAATCCGCCAACATTTGCACCTAGCTACCACAATTGCACTCCTTGCAATTGTAACCTTGGACGCTAGCCTTCATGTTAAATTGGCAGCTGACAGAGAGATACTTTCCTTTCCCAATTTCACTAATAACTTCAAATGCAAAGCCCAGAAGAATGTACACAGTGTGTAGAAAAAGATCAATGTAGAAATCCAGAAAATAAAAAAGGCCACTAAGGGACCATGATAAATTACCAGTGTAGGGAATGTCAGGCTCCACTTTGTACTGAACAATGCCATGAACTGTTCACATTTTGGATGTAAAATTTGATATATGTGAGTGGGTCAGTGGGTGAAAACCAGGTCGACCTGGGTGCCAAGGTTTTAAAAAAAAAGAGTCAGGCCCTATTCAGGTTTAAATCCACAACCTTTGGATATGCAAGCAAGTATCTAGCCCCTACACTACAGCAGCAGCTCTTTCCTAACCAAGGTTTCTCCAATATCCTGAGCCAATATCTGTGTTGGTTAATTGCTGCCTTTTCTTACAGAAACATATGGGCCCACTTATAACGGTAGATTCTTGACTCTTAGAGAGAGAGCTGCATGTAATACACTGTGATGTATTTCCCATTCTCCGTCTCACAGCGACAAGATGTTGAAACTGTCGCACCAAGAAGACTAAATCTAGTCACTTCTGGTTGTGATAAAATCCTGTGAATGCCAACATATCAGCTTGTCTGCAGTCAGCTGTTGTCAGAAAGAGCAGTTAAATTCCACAGAATCTACATTTAATAGGCCAGGATATGAATATAGTAACTAAAAATTAGTTTTTAATTGTTGGTTGGGGGAGGGAAGGACCCCAATGGCCTTTTTAACTCTTTCAGTCCTATGGGATTGAGCATCATAGGCCCAATGGGTAGTAAAGATAGATGTACAATTGGCCCACCTTGCGTTCACTGGGCTTCTAGGTAGGAACCTATAAATGTGTGATGTGTTCCTTGGTCTTCTAGGTAGGAACCTATAAATGTGTGATGTGTTCCTTGGTCTTCTAGGTAGGAACCTATAAATGTGTGATGTGTTCCTTGGTCTTCTAGGTAGGAACCTATAAATGTGTGATGCGTTCACTAGGCTTCTAGGTAGGAACCTATAAATGTGTGATGCGTTCACTGGGCTTCTAGGTAGGAACCTATAAATCTGTGATGCGTTCACTAGGCTTCTAGGTAGGAACCTATAAATCTGTGATGCGTTCACTGGGCTTCTAGGTAGGAACCTATAAATGTGTGATGCGTTCACTAGGCTTCTAGGTAGGAACCTATAAATGTGTGATGCGTTCACTAGGCTTCTAGGTAGGAACCTATAAATGTGTGATGCGTTCACTGGGCTTCTAGGTAGGAACCTATAAATCTGTGATGCGTTCACTAGGCTTCTAGGTAGGAACCTATAAATGTGTGATGCGTTCACTAGGCTTCTAGGTAGGAACCTATACATGTGTGATGTGTTCCTTGGGCTTCTAGGTAGGAACCTATAAATGTGTGATGTGTTCCTTGGGCTTCTAGGTAGGAACCTATAAATGTGTGATGCGTTCCTTGGAACTGAAAGAGCTAAAGCCAGGCTGACGTTACATTTTCCAATAAGCTGATTAAAGTTTAAAACTTAGTTGCATATCCTTTATAGGACATAGCAGAACCAACCCCAGCATTTTTCGGTTGTTTCAGTTTTTCTAGGCACATTTTTATGTTCAGTAGTTTGCCACTGCTTACTGAACAGCCAGCTCTCGAATAGCCCTGTCGAAACCAAAGCAAGACAAACTGTCCGCAGTAGGGATCAAACCCGGCAACGCAGCATTACGAAGCTAGTTAGCAACGCCTAAGCCACAGACGCCGGTATAAGCTGATTATAAATTTTATATATCTACGTATATCAAAAAGCAGATTGAATTTGTAAACAAATGTATTATTGACCTGTATAAAATGCTTGTTTTAATTAGGGATTTTTTCCTGGGAATTTTCAGAGGTTCACGGCTTTATGCTTTTTTTTAAGCACTCGTGGGGTGAATGGGTGAAGACGTTTCCTTTGTCAAGTTATAAGTAAAGTACTTTTACAGGACTCCATAACAAAGCATGCATTAAATTTTACTCCATATTTTAAGTTATTTCACATTGTGAATGTTAAGTCAGAAAAAAAGGTAGCACATTTTAAAACCCTTCCAAAACAATAACTTACTTCTCTGTTTGTCCACTGAGTCTCGCCATATCGTGGTGTAACCAGAGGAATAAAAACCTCACAGTTGCTAACTGCATAGTTCAGGGAGTCTTGCCAGTCTATGCCAGATTTTATCTCATGTACATCCTGGCAAACAATAAATAAGCAGCATTTATAAAATATTCTAAATAAATATTCTTATGTTTACACAAAATAAGGTGCTACAGTGTACTAAATGAGCCAGCTACAGCTCAAGAGGCCGACCAAGAAAGAAATGGGTGGAGAAAAAACACTACAGAAACACAATATGACATTATTACAAGCTATGCAACGAGCAAAAGACAGGAAACTACAACTAACTCTTCTCTGCAACACTTAAAAAAAAAGTGACTTGAGGCCACGGTGCTCTTGTCAGTTAAGACAAGTATTTGTGAGTCACAGTGGTATGTGCTATTGCCCATGAAGACAGTCGAAGACAGTCATTTGGGAGTCAGTTTGGTCAGTTTCTCTTGGCCGTGAAGAGTCATTTGGGAGTCAGCGTGGTTAGAGCTCCTACCATTTGAAACAGTGGTTTGCAAGATCTGCAGGCACAAACTCAAGTTCTAGAATGAGACTATAGTCCAGAAGTGGACGTACAATCAGAACTGTATACTGGAGTTTATACTTGGTGAGTGCTAAAAAGAAGAAGAAAAATAAGAAAAAAAAGAAAAAAAAAAGAAGAAACTATGGGACTGCTATGTGGTGTCTTACACACTTTCTGAACTAAGCAACAGGTGTAAGGTAACTATGCAATGAATACAGTCCCACTGTGGAGTTCTCAGAAATGAAAGAGCTGATAAACTAGCTAAGGAAGAAGCAACTTAAGAATAATCTGAGGTACCAGTCTCTTATCAACAGAAAAGAGAATAATACAGATGAATATGCAATGAATACAGTCCCACTGTGGAGTTCTCAGAAATGAAAGAGCTGATAAACTAGCTAAGGAAGAAGCAACTTAAGAATAATCTGATGTACCAGTCTCTTATCAACAGAAAAGAGAATAATAAAATCAATCAGAAAGCCACCAAAACTGGTACAAGACGATTAGCATATTATGGACAGACCCGAGCAAGTCATATTCTACACCTTAGAACAGGGCACAATCGACTATGCAGCCATTTGAACACTAAATTTAAAATTGGCGAATCAGCCATGCACATGTGTACTAGCACCTGAGACAACAGACCCCATTCTTCAAGACTGTCCCAAATACAACATTTCCAGGCAAAACTTCTGGTGAAGAGAGACACTGGTAGGGATTTTTGTAGCACGATATGGCAGGTTGTTGTTCTGTTCCAGATTGTAGGATTAACACCTCCAGGCCTTCATATTTGTATGAATAGATTTTCTTAGTTATGCCAACAATAAAAACCAAACAGAGAAATCAAATGGATGTTATTCTAGCACTCTGTATATCAGAAATAACGCTCCAGCACATATGTCAATTTCTTTTTTAAACCTCAAAGCAGCAGCAGATGCAACATAAGCTGAACATTTCAACTGTGTGCAACTGTCTGTGTGCAATTGTCCGTGTGCAACTGTCTGTGTGCAATTGTCCGTGTGCAATTGTCCATGTGCAACTGTCAGTGTACAACTGTCTGTGTGCAACTGTCTGTGTGCAACTGTCTGTGTGCAACTGTCTGTGTGCAACTGTCCGTGTACAACAGTGTGATATCAGATTTAACAAACTGCTTTCTATATTTCTTTTTGTGTCTGTGTTTATTATGCTTTCAGGTGGGCCGAGAAATATTTTCCACTGTTCTTGTGGGACGCGGGTGTAAACATGTTGCGGAACAATGCTCTAAAGAATACACAACTAACTGTTTTATGTATCTTTTCTGCAGAGCAACTTACTGGCCTGCTGAGAGAATTTGAATTCTCTAAACTAAATCGCTGCTTTATTCCCCCCCCCCCCCCCCCACCCCCCATCTCCCTAAAAAAAAATGAATGAACACACAACCTCTAGAGTGCAAGACATATAACAAATTACTAGAATCTTTGCCCCTATGAGTTTAATAACAAGTTAAATGAAAGGCAACTCATTTTTATTTAAATGTTACAAAATAGTTTAATGTATGCCGATGAATATTCGATTGTGAAAGAATAAATGACAAAAAAGTCTGAAGGTGGTAATGATGGGATTTCAGAGATGTACTGCATAAATACCCTGAACAGATAAAGTAAGTAACTAAAAATGACTGCCTGGAAAAATCTAATGAAAGTAAACATAAAAAAAGAGGGTATTTTGTGGAATATGGAGAAACATCATCAATATAATTGATAAACAACCAGGATTGAGATCTGCTGAGGGATATGAACACCATTTAGCAAAAGTACATGAAGAGGATGAAAAAGGGTGAACAGAGATTTGTGTTTACAAAAAAATCTATTAGCATTTTAAGACTGAATAAATAACACAGAAACATTCTCTTCTTTGTCACAAAAGTACATGAGATGATGAAAAAAGTGAATAGCAATTTGTAAAAAAAAAAAAAAACAACCTATGAACATTTTAAAACTGTGAATAAATAACACAGGAACATTCTCTTCTTTCATACTAAGCACTGTAACAAACAGGAACATTTTATTCTTCCCCACGTGTAACAAACAAGTATTCTTTATGCTGATCAAAGCAGACACTGAAATTCTGTACCATCAATGACATTTTTCAATGCATAACTAGTTTCCGTAATGAAGTTGAAAATGGAACACTAAAAACCCAGGTAATTATAAGTGAAAGCATTGCATAGAGAACACATAAAACAAAAAGCTCTTTGTCACAGCTAGATACATCCTGTTGACAGACAGGAGGGGAGCCTGCATGCGGATGTCATCAATATTCAAATTCCCATCATGGCAGGTAACTCTGTTTATTCAAGCAGCAGTGACAATTACTGTATTTAATTATTAAATCAACTCTGCCAGTCAGCAAAATGTATCACTGTGTGCGGACAGATATGGCACTTAATATGTGTGCTACGCAAAATAATTAAACTGTAAAGGTGGTTTCAGGGCAGAAACTGCTATTGGCTTGTGAAGTGTTAAAACTTCCCATAATATAGGACATGCAAGGACAGTTCCCTTCCTCGCTGTTTTTCCTTAAAGTCTTCTTCTTTGCATTACCAGGCTGCAAACTCTGGCAGAAAGCTCTGGTTGTTCATCCACTTCTGGACTTTAGTCTTGTTTCAGGACTTGAGTTTTGGGTGCACCTCATTTTTACAGATCTGGCTTATTGTATGCAGACTACTGGTTTCTCGCCTCTCAGGTAGATGCTCAAGCTTCAAAGGAAGCACTATTAATAAACTGACTTTTAGGATAAGCTGCTGTGGCAGGCTGGGCGACAGTTTACCCCCCCCCCCCCCCCCCCCCCACCCACTATTTAGGGTCCTTGAACCCACAAGGGACCTTCAAAATCACCATAAAAATACTGGACACCTAATTTCATGAAGTAAATAAAGCACTAGCTAATATGAGCAGGAAGAAATATGTGCAGGGCTGATACTGGCAATGCAGAACAGAGCAAAAATAGCGTAGAGCATCCTGTCTTGAAAACTGAGGTACTCTGGCCATAGTGAACATAATAGTTACCTGGAGGGAATGGCGATGGAAGGTACAGTTTCCAGAAAAAGAAGCAGATGTCGAACTCGGGCCACACGGCTAGTGATGTCGCCACTGACTGTGCAGGTTGGTATATTAATTTTGCTCTGGGCAGAACAAAATCCACAACCAAACTGAGGATTTGATCCTGGGTCTCCTACATAAAGCCTCTATAGCAGGGCTATTCAACTGGTTGGCCGCGGGCCAAATGTGGTCCGCCATGGCCTAGCAAGTGGCCCGCAGATCACTGCTATTTGTACTGCATGTATGGTCTTTCTATGCTGGGGCTGGTTCTTCTGGCCCGAGATGATCCTATTTTTGAACATTTTTGCCCCTGAGTCAACTTAGTTGCTCTATAGGATGAAATGGTCAGTGCAAAAGAACAGATAGGGAATGCAAGCACTGAAAGACTAATTCAACAGGCGGGTGTGTAGAGGTTCTTGAAGATATTCAACACTGAAGGGGGAAACAGGTGTGGACTTTAAATCAGTCTGTAACTGGTACTGTTAGCTTGATAACTCTTTGTTGGCTACTGAAAAAGGGGACGGAGCATGTGTGGAAATGACCCAAGTGCAATGATGTCAATTCTTGATTTATTTATTCTATATGAGAGGCTAGCGTTCTCAATCCTTCAATCAGCTGCACATGAGATAAACCAACAACTCACCAAATATACTGAGAATCCAATATCTGTGAGCTTGCGTTTCAGATTTAAGGCGTGTTCTGCTGCTTCAGCCCTGACATAACTAATGAGCAGTGGCTTGCTGTTGCCAGAGACTTGAACACTGGAGACAGCATCATCACTAGCCTGACGCTCAATGTCTTTACTTGAGGAGAATGACAACCTGCAGGGACATATCAAAAATAAATACCAGAGGAACCCATGAGGCCACAGAAACAGAAACTGATGATAAAAAAAATTCTTTGGCACTCTCAACTTCTTTTTATGAGTGCCGATCAATAGATGTTCACCTGTTATCACAAAGACACTACAGTCAACTTTAGAATAATCTTTATCTTCTTCTTAGTGTTCTTCCTATTGGAAAGTCCTTGTTGTTTCCCCACTTCTGGAATTCAGTCCTGTTCCAGAACTTGAGTTCTGCATGCACATCCATATTACAGATCTGACATATCTGTATGCAGACTGTTGGTTCGAAGCTTCTCAGACGGATGAGCTCTGACTTCAAAGAAAACACACCTAATTATTCGCCCTGTACATACTTGATAGGAGAGCAGTCAATCTATCCCCCCCCCCCCCCCCCCCAACACGGCCTTAAACCCACATTGGGACTTAGAATAGTGTAAGGCAGTATTAAATTACTATCCTGTTCAAACCTTCAAGGTTACAACTAAATCATTATCATCATGTGCACTACCAGATGGTGTAGACCAGGGCTATCCAACTGGTGGCCCGCTGGCCAAATCTGGCCTATAAAGGCTTAGAAAGTGGCTGTACTGTATTTTAAAGATCTTCCTATGCTGAGGTTCGGGCCTTTGGTCTGTAATGATCTACATGTACAATATTTTGGCCCCCGAGTTAATTTAGTTGAATAACCCTGGTGTCGACAGTCATATCTAGATCTATAAAACTTAATACAATGTGAACAAATGCAGCACTTATTAAGGGTTAGTTGTTAGTCACAGTTCAAAGTTCATGGCAATGATTCACCTTCCACAAATGCCCCATTACTGTGCCAGTGTAAACCATACAAAATTGTTCACCCCTGTCCCTTGTTTTGGCTGAAAGATTCAGTAGCTCTACTAAATAGTAATAAAGCATATTTTACCGTATTGTTTTTGTCCTGGCATGGCTCAAGCCTAATTGTGACTTCCGCTTTAGTAATAAAGTGGTAAATTCAGATTCCTGCTGTATAAGCTCCTTGAAATCAATATACACGTCACAACCTCTAAGAACCTCATGTACAGGAGTCTCCTCCTCCACCTCAGCTGCCACAGGAGATCCATCACTGTAGAGAAAGTGGAATGTCTTATTCTGTCCGTTCAGACCCGTACACTGTTTGAGAGAAATGTTAGTCATATTTACATTCTTTGTGGCATAAGTAGCAAGCAAATAAACACAAGTACACTAAATTCTGATCACTAAACAAAGAAAAGGGTGCTGCATGGTCTCAAAGTATAGTGTCCGCCTCGTGTGCTAAAGGTCCCAGGTTCAGGCCCCCAGTGAGGGCTGGGATTATTTCATGTAGACTTCTAGTAATTTTCCCTGGTCTTTGGGTAGTAAGATTAGATGCCTGTGTGTATTGTTGCGCATGTAAAAAAATCCCTTGGCAGTTTTAAATCGAAAAAATTAGCCTTACGGCGCTGCCCGGGCAAAATTTTGAGTTAAAAATCTACCCAAAATATTTCAGGATCCTTGTCGATGAGCTACTTCAGACTCAGACTTGAGTTAAAAGTAGAACAGTGCACTTATGGATTACTACCCGTGTGCAATAATGTTGATCCATTGTTCAAACTTCAAACCACTAAACAAAACTGCATTGTGGCCCTAAATTAACAAAAACATTAATATAAACTTAACTGTGGTGACCAAAATAACTATAAACACTGAAACAAAATCGAATCGTGGTGACTAAAATGAACATATAAACACTGATACAAACTGCAAGGTGGGGATCTAATCAGCATCCAAAAGGTGGTATGTGGTAGCATCAAACCATGTGGTGATTAAGCCAAGTCGAAAGCTTCTGTACAAAAAGACAATTACTTTTTCTACATCATATGACAGAAGTGACATAACACTGCCTATTACAGAGCAATTCAACTAAGTTTACTTCTTCTTCACTTCCTCTTTTACCGCTGTGGGTGTCGAGGGAGATATAAGGTTCTGTTTCTAGCTCTTCTGGCTGTCTCGATAATAGGCACATCGTGCTGTTGTAGAGTTTCTCTGATGTTATCCTTCCATCTTGTTCTTGGTCTACCCTGTGACTAAGTTTACTTAGAGGCCAAAATACTGAAAATGAGGACCATTACGGTTTGGATAACCAAGCTCGTGGCATAGAAAGATTATTAATACGATACAACTAGTACTGATCCGTGGGCCACTTGGATCGTCACGGGACAGATACCCAAGCTCCTGGCATAGATAGATTATTAATGCAAAACAATTGATACTGATCCATGCGCCACTTGCCAGGTTGACAGCTGAATAGCCCTGGCCTATTATTTATGATTTCAAAACAACTGCTGAGAGCTTACTTTTGTGCTGATCAAGTCTCGGAGATCAGCTAAACAGGACACATATGCAAGGTATAGATGTCCGTGAATGGCACTACTGCTCCTCACTAGTAACCTTGGTATATCTAGAAAACAAAATGAAAACACAGGCTGTGTTAAAACCGTATCACTTTCTCAGACACAATACAGGATGAACAAAAATCATAATTCAATACTTTCTCAGCTCAGACAAGATTCAGGACAAACAAAAACCAGGATTCATTACTGTCAAAAAATATACACGCTAAAAGAAAAACCAATCTGATTCATTTCCTTTTCAGACAAAATACAGACTAAACAAAACCCATGATTCAATACTCTTTCCAGACAAAATTTAGATACAAGAAAGCCAGAAGCATTCATTACTTTTTCAGACAACATACATGCTAAAACATGCTGTATTACTCATTTTCTCACACAGACCTTATTATAAAAGACAAATTCCCCTTGTGGGATTCGAGATATCATTTGAGGGAGTTTGGGGGGGGGGGGGGGGGGACAATCTGCCCCCTCCCCCTTTTCAATCCTCCCACAAAAAAGCATGTTGCAACAAGCAACTAATTAGTGGCTTTTATTAGAGGTCAGACTGCAACAGCTTGAGAGGTGAGGAACCAACAGTTGGCATACACATTTGCCAGATCTATATAAAAAAAGATGTCCATGAAAAACTCAAGGTCTGGAAAAACACCAAAATCTAAAAGTGGATGAACAACCAGAACTTTCCACCTGGGTTTACAGCTGGTGAACACTAAGAAAATGAAGATAACAGAAAATGATCAATTTCACTATCCACAGCTGTAACAATATAGCCTAATATGTGGTATACAACAATGAAGAATAAGTAAAGGTCCCTTTTCCCCGCCTTTAGGCGTATTGGGTATATAGGGCTAGACCTATATTTTATAGACCAATCGGCACAAGATGGGTGATGTGGTCAGCATCACACCGGTCGCCTCTACTTCCCAGGATTTTACCCGGTACCCACTCAAGGCTGGGTCGACCTGGGGGCCAAGGTCATTTTTAAAAAAAGTCCGGCTCCACCAGGGAGCGAGCCCACGACCTTCCGATCTGCGGCGAGCGTCTAGCCGCTCAGCCACTGCGAATCCCTACAACAGTGAACAATAAGAACAAACAAGAAAATTTACAACAGAAGGGACAATAATATCATCAAATGGAAGATCTGTGAGCGATTAAGGCCAAGCTTAAACTGCATTTTAACTGATGACAAATAACTTAAGCCAGTCACGTGAACTTCATGCCAGAATGGGAGTAGTGAAATCTTATTTTAAACCATCTTGCTTTATGGCAGTGAAGCATGAAATAAGAATGAAAAAATTAGAAACAACCTGAAGGCACCCAAGATGAGACTTCTACAACACAAGTTGTGAATACTTTGGACATTAGGACTATAGTACATTTACAAATTGGTGCTGAAGATACCCAAAAGAAAAAGAAATTTTTTTCCTCAGCTGCAGTGGAATATAAACTGATTAAATTATTTACACATTTTCACTTCATTCTCAACATTTTGTCATAGTTTTTTGTAATCTGCATAACAACTAACAGACTGCATTTTTGTTCATCTGAGGTACATAAATTTAAGATGATCCTTGCTGGATTGTCTTTTAATAGTTATGCAGCACAAAGTTCAAATCTAACCAAACAATCTATCAGAAAAACACAGGTTTCTTCTGAATAAGACCAAAACTGTTGCACAAATTTGTCACAATGCACTATAATTTGACTGTGCTAGATCGTTTTCAAGTTTCATCATAAGTTCTAGAGGCATAACTTACGTGGTTATGGTTACTTCAATTCATGTAAGTATTGTACACTTGTTTTGTTGCTTAAAAAAATTATACAAGTGATAAACATTTTAAAGAAAACATCTGTTTCGATATAAGTGGGTAGTGAAAATAATATTTATGTATAAAACATTTACATTGAGATAAAAATAGGAGCCTTTCAAAACATCACATTCCAGGAAGAGTAATTACAAAGAAATTATCGAAAATACAAAGGCACAAATTTGTAAACACACAATAACAATTATTACTTAAGAAAAAATGAAAACAACAACTATATCAGTTGCAAGATGTTCTCCAATACAGCATAAATCCTATACTGTTCAAAAAAAAAAAAAAGAAAAACACATAGTTATTCGGTAGCGAGTTTTTATTAGTTTGTAGATAAAATATTGTACTTGGGAATGTGAAAAGCAGACTCAAATGTTGTTTACCGTGTCCAGTGAGCATGTGGACATGAATTGCGTGGGTTTTTGTAATCGTTAAAAAGCAGTGGTCAAATGTGTTTAAGACCATATTTGTGAGCATAGCTTACGAGAAAACAACACAATTTGCGGTGAACACTATTCACTGCCTACGCAGTTGAAACCCTATAAAAGGATAACGCTAAACTAAAACAATCAGTTCATTTTCAAGCAGTCACGAATGGCGTCTCCATCGATAAATTTAAGGAATATTGCTTTTGGCCGATTGCAGGCAGGAGAAAGTCAAAGTCAGGTTGCCAGACATCTAAATGTCCATCAGAATACCATCAATCAACTTTGATAGACGGTGTAGGGTCTACAGTATGGGAAATGAAGGTTTAGCCCAAACTTGTGGTGATGAAGCACTGCTGCACGGTGGTAAAGGTGTAATGTTATGGGTAATGGCTGACCCCATTCTACACAGCTGACCATCCAGTTCCTGGCTGCCAATAACATTCAAACCCTTCCCATCCCTGTCTGCAGACATGAGTCTGATTGAGCACCTGTGTGATGAGCTGTAAAGACGTGTTTGTCGCCGAAACATTATTCCAGCCAATGGTCGTGATCAGTTCCAGGCACTCCAGGAAGACTGCGCAGCCATCCCACAGGCCCACATCAGACATCTGATCGCATCCATGCCCAGGAGATGCGAGTCACTAATCCACGCAAGAGGAGGCCAAACTCCATACTAACAGGAAAGGCATACGCTTAAAAACTATCGTGAACCAGATGCAAAAAAGGTGTCAACTGATTGGTGGAACCCTAAGGTATTCTTGTGTAATATATTTGAGTAATTTCACTTACTGCATTACAAAGATACAGAATGTCAAAAATGTGAGCATGTGTGTTCCTTTCAGAAACTATGCGTTTCCTTTTCTTTTTTTTAACAGTATAAAAGGTCAGAACTTCAAGAAAAATTGGCTCGTAAACAGCATCTTATCTCAGAAACTGAAACATTTTGGCCATATCAAACATCACAGTGGAATGAAAAGAACAGCTGCAGAAGATATGGTACCAGGCAAGAGGGACAAGGGCTGACCAGCACAAAAATGGATACAGGACATAAGAGACACCTTGGGCAGGACAGCACATCAAGTGAAGTATCAAGTTTCTATCAGGAATTCTGTGATGGGAGTGACAGTAAAAGACATTTTTCAGACTAATCTAAACATCCATTTAACATCCATCCGATGAGGCAAGGTTCCTCCCCCCCCTCCCAAAGACAAAGATCAGAAAAGTCTTGCCAGTACTAAGGACTAAATTTGCATTGTGGGTTGATTTTCAAGTGTCTAAATTTGATAAGGTGACCAGTTTATGTAAATTGATTATTGTAAGAAGAAATGGAGATCACCTCATAATGTGTTCTCATGACACTTGTGTGAGTGAATATATATATATATATATATATATATATATATATATATATATATACTACTCATTGCAAGTATGTGTGTGTGTGTGTGTGTGTGTGTGTGTGTGTGTGTGTGTGTGTGTGTGTGTGTGTGTGTATATATATATATATATATATATATATATATATATATACTAGGGCTGTAACAAATATTCGCTTCGTATTCGCTTCGGGGCCGAATAGTGGACCCAATAACTATTCGGTATTCGGCCGAATAGTTGCGGTCGGGCCAAATACGAATAGTGGTTACCTCACAACCGTTTCTGGACTGGTGGAAAAAAAACATCAAGACTTCCCACCTTGGTTTATACTGTGAAGCATTATCTTTGTGCACCACCTACGAGCGTACCAAGTGCCCCTTTATTTCCATCTTGCATGTGTTGCGAGTAGTGTTGTCGGCTTGATTTCTTTGAGTGGAGTGTCCTCTTCGTTGATTCTTTGAAGTAACGGGAGTTCGTCATCATTTATGGGTGTCGTATCTGTTCTTTCGTCGTCTCGTGGAAACGGCAGCGGCTGAATGTTTTGATCGATGTTCGGTTTCTTGATTGTCTTTGTTGTTTGATCTTCTGGCGTTGGCCGCCTGGCGTCTGGTTTCGTGAGCTCGTGGGGGGCTGGGCGACTTGTAAGGACTGCATTGTTTTCTTCGTCTGCGTTATTTTTGTTTTTGATGTTTCGCCTTGCGGGTTTTCATTTTGACTCTCTGTATTTGTCGTATTTTCCTGTTTAGTACAGCTGGAAATACCTTCAGTGAGACAAAAAGCTGGCCTAATGCTGACAACATGGAACGAAGGTTTTTCATGGAGGTGTGTCAGCACACGAACTAATACGTGCTGCAGGAGATCGCAGATTGTGGCGAGGCATAATCGCCCATGCCAGCCGGCAAAGCACATGATGATGATGATTCACTATTCGTATTCGTATTCGGCCGAATAGTTGGTCCAGCTATTCGTATTCGGCGGAATAGTGAAAATCACTATTCGGTACAGCCCTAATATATACACATACATACAATGAGTAGTATATATAATGAGATTACCCTTACGGGAAATTCTATAAAATTGATCAATGTGTAAAACTAATGCATTTTAACATGGAGTATACCGTCATACCGTAGTTGTTTCTGATCAAAATTGTATCATTGCCATTACAGATCTGTGCTGCACCTACGTCCTTCTCCTGAGCAAATTGGATGTCATGTCTGTATACAAATTATATGTTAAAGTTCAAGAACATTCAAGATATGTGCTAACAAGTACTAATTGTTAAACAGCAACAAAGGACACACATTCAATTTATTCTTCTTTAAAGTGTATAATGAATTATTCTTTTCTCAATGCAAAGAGAAAATCAACAGAGATGGAAAGTAGTATACCAGCCACCTTCACAGGTACAAAATCCCAAGTGATTCAAAGAATGACAGTTTGGGAGAAAATAAAAGTCTTTGTTTGCATATACCCAAAAAAAAAAAAAAACACTAGTAAATTATGTTTCTGTCATCAACATCATCATCAATTTCCACTTCTGCCATTAAGTGTTGTGGGAAGGAACAGTCTGCAACCCATTGCTTGATGGGCAGCAATGGCTTTTGTCATTCCATGTCGATGTAGAAGTTCTTTAAAGTCATCAATCCATGTTTTCCTAGGCTGGCCTCTTGCTTTGAATTAAGATCTTTTCATTGTAGTGCCTGCAATGGTAGGTTTTCTGGCTGCATTCTTACAAGATGATCAAACCATTTGATCTTCTGTTTCTCAATGAAGTTTCTACATAGTGTTGTTCCTACAGACTGTCTGATAATATAGTTTCTGACTCTGTCTCGGATGATTAGCTTGGCATCTTTTCTCAGGCGTCTAATTTCACAGGTTTTAATTTCACAGGTTTTAATTTCACGTAGGTTAGCCTTTGATTATGTCCAAGACTTGCACTGGTAGCACAGTTTTGGTACAAATATGCTGTTTATAATCTGTTTCTTGGCGCTCATACTTATGTTTGAATGTCTTAATAACAGTGTCAGTTGGTGTGATGTATAAGTGCACTAGCTCGTTGGCATCTTGCTTCTTTTTCCAGATCTCCCATCCTTTGAGATATTTAAATTCTTTGAATCATTTGACCCGACATAAAGTGGACTAGGAATTTTGCTGACCAGCATTACTTCTGTTTTGGCAGTATTTATTTTCATGTTATATCTTCTGCATGTTGAACTTAGCTTGTTTAAATGTTCTTGCAGTCTACTTCCCTCATTGTAGAACAGGGACTGATCGTTTGCAAATAGTAGCTCGTTTACTGTGTGTGGATCTAATTCTTCTTCTGGATTTTCTGGGACGACTGCTTTAAAGTTGGCTTCTTTTGATATTCTGTCTATGTATATAGTAAATAAGACAGGAGAGATAACACATCCCTGCCATACCCTCTGTTTGATTGTGAACATATCAGATCTACTGCGATCCATTAAACATATCAGATCTTTTGCGATCCATTAAACACATCAGATCCATTGTGATCCTTCATGTGTTCTCACTGTGCTTTGGGAAGTGTGGTACATGGCCACAATGTTACCTTCCAACCGTCTTTGTATCCCATAATCTTTAAGAATAGACTATAGTTGGTTTCAGTCTACTATATCAAAAGCCTTTTCTTGATCTAAAAACCCATTGTTCAGTTCATTGTCATATTTACTGGTTTTCTTGCAAACTTGTCTTAGTGTAAAAAATGCATCTGCGCAACCTCTTCCTTTTTTGATTTTGTATTCTGATAAAAGCTTTATAGCTATAATTGTTATTTGTGACTGTGATTGCCTTTTTTGTAAAACTGACCAATCCTACTTTTTATTATTGAATATGATGAACCAGTTCAGTTGTAGTAAAATTATTCAACCATTTAAAACAAAGAAAACTACACATTGATAAACCATGCAATAGATTAGTCAGTCACTTTGTATATTAATCAAAAGTGCTACAAACCAACATTAAAATTAATCAGCAAATTTAAAAATTGCTCAAACTATTGTACAGACTAGACATGCATTTAACAAATTAAGCAATTTGTTTTTAAACAAAACCCTTTAAAGGCCTATATCTTTCCAGTTTTGCTTTAAATACTCGTAATTAATCTTAGCGAAATCTGTACAAATAGATTCTAGCAAAAGATACTGCTAAAGACTAACCTTGTTCTTGAACAGAAAATGAATCTTTCAGGTAAGACCTGGGATAACTGCTGCTTGAAAATTTGCCTCAATAATGGCAGACTCAGATCTGACCACAGATGTTTGGGGACTGTGACCACGCCTAGCTGAGTGTCCACTTCACTTGGTGCCCCATAGTGGATGAGACTGACATTGATCAACTCTACAGCTGAGAGCAGAGATGCAAGTTATGCTTACAGTTTAATAAATTATAAGTAAAGAAGCTTATTACACGCCTTAAGGTGTATTGGGAATAGAAGGCTAGACCTATATTTTTATAGACCATTGGCACTTGGTGGGTGATACTGTCAGCATTACACCGGCCGACTTTACCTCCCAGGACTGCACCTGTTACCTACTCAAGGCTGGGTCGACCTGGGAGTCAAAGTCATTTAAAAAAAAAAAATGTTGCTGTCAGGACCCGATTCCACGACTTTCTGATCCGCAGGCGGGTGTCTAGCCACCAACGCCAGGGTGACTTCCCTTAATAAATTATCAGGGATAAAAACAGGGGTGACTAATATCAAGTTAATTATCAAAAAATTAATCCACTGACTCGTGACTAAAAAGTTTAACAATTGTGGGTGAAAAAAAAAAGAAAATACAGAGGAACAATACAATTGGATGTTTCAGCAGCAGCCTGTCCTAACAAACAATCTTCTTGTGTTATCTTTCTTGTTAGGAATCTTCTTGTGTTATCTTTCTTGTTAGGAATCTTTTTGTGTTATCTTTCTTGTTAGGAATCTTCTTGTGTTATCTTTTTTGTTAGGAATATTCTTGTGTTATCTTTCTTGTTAGGAATCTTCTTGTGTTTTCTTTCTTGTTAGGAATCTTCTTGTGTTATCTTTTTTGTTAGGAATCTTCTTGTGTAATCTTTCTTGTTAGGAATCTTCTTGTGTTGTCTTTCTTGTTAGGAATCTTCTTGTGTTATCTTTCTTGTGTGTTAAATATCTTCTTGTGTTGTCTTTCTTGTTAGGAATCTTCTTGTGTTATCTTTCTTGTTAGGAATCTTCTTGTGTTATCTTTCTTGTTAAGAATCTTCTTGTTTTATCTTTCTTGTTAGGAATCTTCTAATTGTGTTATCTTTCTTGTTAGGAATCTTCTTGTGTTGTCTTTCTTGTTAGGAATCTTCTTGTGTTATCTTTTTTGTGTGTTAAGGAATTTTCTTGTGTTGTCTTTTTTGTGTGTTAAGAATCTTCTTGTGGTGTCTTTCTTGTTAAACTAAATAAATAGTAACCAAAACTGAATATTAAAATTATTTATTATAATAATATTAATTAATATTAACATTTAAATAATGCGGACACAAACAATACATTGCACAATTTATTGCCAGGTATATTTCGCTTTATCTCGTCAGGTGCGTTCATAGAGAGTTACACAACATAAAATGAAGCACAAGACTGAATAAATCCAATTGAAGTTTCTTCCGACATGTCGTGTGTGTTTTTAGTCCGCAGGAAGCTCACCCTAGTTACATGGAAACTTAAAGTTTACAATAAATTCTGTCTGCTTACAAAGGAGGGGGTTTCTGATTTTAATTGTTAAAGCTTCGGCCATTCTCAACAGTTTCCTGTTTGGAGTGTGGTAAATCACACGGAAAGCATTGTCTGTGTCAATTACGTGTCCGGAATTAAGTAGATGACATCTTATGGAAGAAGCGGGTTCTTTCCTCTTGACTAAATTATTATATTTTAAACGCATAAACATGTTTATTTACCATCCAGCACATAATAATTATTATTACACACTTAAATGAGGCCTTATTCTATGAGTCCCAAGGAAAGCTTTATGCGCTGTTTGGTAACTACCAAGTGGCAAAATAGACACGGGATGCATACAGGTTTATAATTTACCCCCAATCAGGACAAAAGTGCAAACTAGAAAAATTGAAACTTCACTTCCGGTTCTTTGTGATCAATTATACTCTGGCTGATCCTTAGTTAGGTTTACTTGGAAAGGTGGTTAAAAGCCTAAAATATAGACTTGTTTAATCATTCTTCTTCTTCTTTCTCTCTTTCACCATTAACCTCGGCGAAGTGTTGGGGAGATGCAAGGATCATCTGTGCACTTTTTCCAATACACTGTACAAGCTGGTGTTCAATTCTGTTACGTTGCTCCTGATGATGTTGCTCCATGTCTTGTGTGGTCTTCCCCTTGCTCTGTATTCATTATATTTCTTCAGCATGGCTCTCTGTGTCCGTTGGTACCAGGGCATTCCCATCAGGTGACCAAACCATCTCATTTTTTGTTCTCTAATGAACTGTAAGCCTGGTTTCAGTCCTAGTCTTCTTCTTATTTCTTAATTAGTGATTTTATCTCTTCTTATCAAACCGGCAGCTCTCCTAAGACATCTCATCTCTGTTACGATTTTCTGCTCATTAGTTGTAGTAAGGGTCCATGTTTGGTACTGGTAGCACAATGTTGGCCAAAAAACCTGTTTCAGATGAAGGTACATAGAGTCAATGAGGAATAGCTCTAAAATATGTCGCATGCAAAGCATATAACATGTCAGCTGGTACAAAGAGAATAAATATTAGTGAAAAATGTGAATATTTTTTTTCAGCGTCAGTTAGTTCTCGTGCTATTCCCCCTATCATTTAGCAGCCTAGCTACACAATTACATGCAAACTGGGTGTTATATAATCTTTTTTTTTATGTGTGAAGATACTAGCTGTTTTGGAAAGTCATTTCTCATTTTTATTTTTACCAACTAATGGTGCTCTGTTACGATGTTCCAAAAGTTTTTCAGGAACAAGATCTAATGCACAGATTGTGCTTATATTTTATTTATAGATTACTAAGTGGTTCATACTAATTTATGAATAATTCTGGAGACATTTTGTTGAGTTTTCCTTGAGTGCCATAGTGGCAAGTGGACACATTTATTTTACCAATTTCTCGGAACATCTTGTCTGTTTACTAATTTTTAACACAATTTATTTACTGTAGGAATATTCTGATATTCATCAATAATCAGGCTATCCTCTGAATAATAGTCCCAAATTATCGAGGCCAAAAATATACCCTAAGAGGGCCTTAGTCACATGTAAATTGCGAACCTCTTTCCGGCGACTATACCGCCACCGCGAGAGTATCTCCCGCACCGCTATGTGCGGCGTGGAGTGGGGCTAAACTAGATGGCTGGGACTCACAAGAAAATAAAATGGAGGAAGCTGCAGGAGATGTGGTAGCTGCTGCTCGTGAGTCCCAGCCATCTAGTTTAGCCCCGCTCTGCGCCACGCGTACCGGCGCAGACTTAACTCTTGGCAGTGACTTTAACTTGGTGGAAGCTTTTCCATGGTATGCTGTATGGTCGCCAGAAAGAAGTCTGCAATTTACGTGTGACTGAGGCCCTGTTAGGGTATATTTTCGGCTTTGATAATTTGGGACCATTATTTAGAGGATAGCCAACAATCGCTAGTCACTTTGATGTATAATATGTGTATGCAGCAGCTAAATTTGGGCTCTCCTTGCACTTTTGGACGCTAGCTGGACAGCTTAGTGGGAGTTCTCTCCCTTGGCCGCATTGACAACAGCGAGCGGAAAAGTCACGAATCAAATGAAATACTTACCTATCATCATCCGCGTACATGTAGGGTTGCATACAGTTGCGTGTAGGGTTGCGTAGTCATCATACGGTTTCGTCTAGGGTTACCTATCATCATACGGTTGCGTGTAGGGCTGCGTAGGGTGTCTATCACCATCATACGCTTGCGTGTAGGGTTGCGTAGGGTGTGGGTTGGGGTTAGGGATAGGGGTAGGGGTAGGGTTAGGGGTTAGGGTTAGGGGTAGGGTTAGATGTGAAAATGGTGACGTAGAACGTCCAAATACTGGGCGACAATCTGATGCTTGTGGGAGTGGCGCCACTGGAAGTGTGCCAAATATGACGGCAATAGCGCGCGGCTGGTGCCCAAACGGTGGCGAATTGTCCGTGTCAGTAGCATCCACCGTCCGTCGACTGTTTGGGTGTTTATGTGACTGTGCGCGATTATAGGGAACTACGGCGTCAAAATTGTCACATCTAACGCTAAACCTAACCCTACCCCTAATCCTACCCCTAACGCTACCCCTAACCCTAACTGTAACCCTAATGCTACCCCTAATCCTAACCCTAACCCTAACCCTAACCCAAACCCTAATCCTACCGCTAACCCTAACCCTACCCCTAACCACGCAAATTTATAGGTCATTAAAGCATACAGATCGGCAAAACACCCAACACAAAAAAAAAACCAGATTTCCCCGCAGCGTCAAAAGAAAAACCCAGATCTGGGGGACACAACCAAGCATTGGCAGCCCTGATGTCGACCTCACTGTCTTGTTTGATTCGTGACTTTTTCCGCTACTTGTTTTCAATGCAGCCAAGGGAGAGAACTCCCACTAAGCCGACCTAAGCCGTCCAGCTAGCGTCCAAATTTTTATGTTTTACACTTGCGCGATTTCAAAAATTAGATCTTGGGATGATGCTACCCCCCTCCCCTGCTCAGGCTCAAAGAGTTAAGCAGACTGAGGACCCCCTACAATGAATGATTTCTTTGTGGCGGTATCCCTGCTGTGTGGAGTGGTCTAACTAACACTGTGGCAATACAACACACTATTTATGAATTAAAGACAAAGAATAACAGGTCAGGATGTTTTAATTAGATGAAATTTGTCCCAAAGACTGAGTGAGTTAAATGCGTTCTTATTATGACGATTTGATTTGGATTAGCATTTTGCAAAGAAACGCCACAAAATCTCGACTCAGAGACAATTTGAATTATTTATATAAGTATAAGGGGTCGTAGAACTAAAAAAAAATGACTGCTATTATAAATTGTTTAATTATTATAATTATAATTCATGTTTTACAGTTTACTTTTACTGAAATACAAGTTACATTTCAATAACTGTGTATACTTATACTTATACATAATAATAATAATATATTAGTTTACTTATAAATTATTAAATTGAAAAAATTTACAGATTATTTAAAACAAGTTACTCTTTTATTCTGTACGATTGTCTCTAGCAGCAGTGTAGAAAATACTTTTCATATACCTGTTCTGCTAGTCCGCGGCATATTTCATCTGCGAAGAAAATCTGACACGAACAGTCTGAAACAATAAATCTTTCCTCTGTGTGTGTGTGCATAGCGACGAATTACGCTGAAAGTGCATCCAT